CTGAAGTTACATGCACCACGATCTGTATAGAAAGTGAGAACACATGGTCGCAGCTAGGAGAGATACAATTGAAGTAGCGCTAGCTATGTACAGTTATTGGAAGTAAAATACGTAGTGGAGGCTGCTCGCTTCTCGCTGGATTTACACTTTCTAATCATTACCGAATTCAAAGAGACGCTGACTTCACATGTGGTGAAACAAGAGGAAACAAAGAAACAGATAGAAAGAGAGACGAGAGAGTTTGAGAGGCAACTTGGATAAATAATGTTACGTAGAAGTTGCAATAATCTCCTATTACTCTCTCCCCGTCGATGGCGTTAAAAAATATCATTAACCGGTGTAAACAACGATGAAAAATAAAACCAAACCCTTATGAAATGAATAGGAAACTTTTAGCGACGTTCACTTCTTCGCTTTGGGCTGACGCTTGCGGCCGCGTCGATCCTCCGGCCTGTAGGGGCCCAATTTGTGCCTGACCATACAGCCGCGCCACCAGGCCTGTATTCTCAGGGCGCATCTCTGACGGTGGGCCTCGTGCTCCAACCTCCTTCGCATTTGCAGAACTTGCCTCAAAATTTGAATTTTTGGTAAAATTACAGTAAATAAACAATTATGAGATGCAGGTAAAAGCTAATCATTTAATAGAAAATTACCCTGACGATTTAGACTTAAATTTTGCGAAGGAATGCATCCATTCCGAAGCACAATGCAGTGTGAATGAAATATCTAAACAATAATTTACACCGGTAGAGCTGTTAATTAAAGTGGATCAAAAATAATAAATTAGATTCAATATATCCCAATGTGGAAATCGCTTTACGTTTGTACGGCGATACCGAAATGCGCAGGAGAAAGATCTTTTTTGACGCTTTAAAGTATAAAAAATTACTCGAGGACAACGATCAGCCGAGAACGATTAAATTCTCTTACACTATTGCACATTGAAAATAAATTGGTAAAAAATGTAGATTTCGATGTTTTGATACATAATTTTGCTTCGTTAAAATGTAGGCGTAAATATGCGAATTGATATAACCAACAGTAGCTATAAATATTTATTATATTCTTTTCAAATTATTCTTTTTTCACATTCAAATTCCAAATACATTGGGGCGGCAAATTTTACCCAGCCTAGGGCGCCAAAAATATTAATCCGCCTCTGCAAATTTAACATGGGCTCTTATTGGAGGCCATCATAATTTCATACATTTTACGCCATAACTTTTTTAGTAAACAACAGATCTTAACCAAAAACGAGTATGTTATGAGTAATTGAAAAAAATGTGCGTAAAATCATTGATTTCGAATAGTGCGAGCGGTTGCCTGCCTAATGCGAGAAAGAGATACACAGACGCCTTGCTATATGAGACACCTTAATGCACAGTAAGTCACGCACGCGCAGGTGGTCCCCATCAAGCTGCATTCGGTATTAGCCCCGCCTCCATCTTTCATGTTCAAATTCTGGTATTTAGACTGCATTAGTAATCGCCTCGGCGGCTGAGAGGTTTCAGTCGTCGAGGTAAAAATGTTGGGGCCGCGTTCGCTCACTCACAGCCTACGGCTGCAGTCCCGGGTTCGAAACCCATGAGAACATTTAAACGCGGGCATGTCGGGGGGACATGTACAGTGATTTGATGCTGGTGTCACTAATCCGGTAATTTCATTTCATTGACCACAACATTATTTTGATTTTTATGCAGTTGATGACGAATGAAAATTCAATTTAATCAAGAATTCGACTCTACGCGACGGCCTCTGATGATTTTTTAAAATGTCAAAAACATTTTTTGGTTTAAAAAAGGTGTCCAGGCTGCTTTTTCAATAAGAACATATTTTTATTACGATTGAGATATAATCAGTGTTAATTGCGAAGCAAACCATTATAAAAAGAAAGGTGTTGTCATTGCGAACATGACTATTATGCAGTTAAGTCGTCGAATTATGTAACCAAAATTAGCTCCAACAAAACTTTATTCATCTTGATCCAAAATATTCCGAGATTCAATATTTTTAGTCGGTTTAAGATTCGATGGAATGGTAATTAGTATAAAATTTCCAAATCTTCCTGTGTTAAAATTTCTTAGTTTTTTTTTGGAAATCCAAAGTCTTCGCGTTTTCCGTAAACGACTGGTTTTGGATCGGTCAAATTGATTCTTACTTACACATGAATATGCACAAACGTTGCCATATTGAGCAAATCAAATGAGAGAAATAAAATCACATACGTACGTAATCGTTATAAACTTCGAGATTTGCCTAATAGATAGTTTCTGTGAATTTTGCGGACTTTTTATCGTGTCAACTCAAATTTGATGAAGCCCCACGTTTATTTTCACACATCTTTGCGACTTTCATGGACTATTTTTTGGTGTTTGTTCAAAGTGCTACGATTCCCAAATTTCTTCCCGCAATCATCACAAGCAAAATCTTTGCGACCTTCATGAACGTTCTTTTGGTGTAAGATCAAACTCGATTTTTGTGTAAATTTCTTTCCACACTCGTCACATAAGTAATCTCTGCTACCTTCATGAATTGTCTTTTGGTGTAAGAGCGAATGCGGTTTTTGTGTAAATTTCTTCTCGCAATAGTTGCATGCAAAATCTTTACGACCCTCGTGGACTACCTGTTGATGTCTCAACAATTCTGATTTACTTCTACATTTCCTCACACAATTGTCGCATGCAAAATTTTTCCGACCTTCGTGAACGAAATGTTCATTTCGAAATTTGTTTTTATTTTAATAAAACATGTGGTTTTGTCTTCTAAAGATCAGATTTAAATTTTTTTTGGAAGGTATTGTTGATTTTCTATTTATAAATAATCAGGGTTAATTTGAAAGAAAACTATTATAAAAAAGGTATAGTCATAACATACATGATTTTTGTACAGTTAAATCGTTAATACAGTTACAATTTACTTTTAGCATTCATGATCTATTCCATTTAGGAAACCTCATATTTTTTAAGAAGTTTTATTTCTGACGGAGGGGTATAAGATTCACCAATGTTCCTCTGTTAAAATTTTTATTCAGCAAATGTTTTTTGAGATTCGAAGTCTTCATATTTTCTGTAAACAATTCGTTTATGATCGGTCAAATTGACTTTTATTCGCGCATGGACACGGCCAATTTTTGCCCTTGTGAGCAAATCAAATGTGGGAAACATAACTGCGTTAGTATGCAAAAATGTTATCACTTTTATCATATACGTAATATTTACAAACTTCGAGAACTGTTCAAATTTAATGGAGTCTAATGTTCATTTGCACACTTGTTGCAAAACTTCATGTACTATTTTTTGATGTCTGATTAATTGAATCGACGCCCCAATTTTTTCTCGTATATAGAGTGCCTGCACAGTGGCGCGATTATTCGCTTAGTTAGAAGATGCCCAGGTTTTTCAAATTGTCGGATCGCAAATCGAAATTATCAAATTGACCGCACTCGTCCAATCCACATAAACTTTCCGAGCGATGCATGTTCTCCTAATGCAGGAGTTGCGATTTGCGATTATTATGATCGTGGTTGTACCGTGGTCTTAATCGCGATTATCCCGAAATTATACTCTGGTTCAAATCGCGATTACGTCGAGATTATACCGTGGTTTAAATCGCGATTATATCGAAGCTATATCGTGGTTATCCCGGGTTTCTAATCGAGATTATAATGCGGCTATAATCGCAATTCTAATTATCGCGATTCTAATAATCGTGATTATAATGCGACCTATAATCGCGATTCTTATAATCGTGATTATGATGCGCCTTACAATCGCGATTCTAATAATCGCGATTATGACGCGGCTCATAATCGCGATTCTAATAATCGCGACTATGACGCGGCTCATAATCGCGATTCTAATAATCGCGATTTTAAAACCGTGATTATAATAATCGCGATTTTAAAACCGTGATTCTAATAATCGCGATTTCAATATCGTGATTTTAATAATCGTGATTAAAATATCGCGAATATTAGAATCGTGATAATACCACAATTCGAGAATCACTTGTAAAGTTCGTATCGTCTTGACAACGATGCGTTCCTTTATCACTCTCGTTCTGGCTTGATTCGTTACGTTAGAGTGTTCTATCTAGCTACTCCATTTGAATCGGTCACAACGGAGTATCTCGCATTGTGACTGGTCAGCGCTGTAAAACAGCCGAGAACCGTTGCGACAGCAGTACGTTAGAGCATACGACGCTGCTTGTCAACGATCGAAATTTTCATCTCTACTATACAGCGTCGTGTATCTCTGTCTCTCGCATTCTGGTTCGATTTATTACGTTAGAGCATACGCGATTAAACAAGAAGAACTAACTCTTTTGCTAATTCATTAACTTAAAATTCAACCATAAAATTTTGAAATTTTGAAATGAGTTGTCTGAAGCAAATTCAAATTAAAAATTTCAAGCATGCTATATCAAGTTATAAGAATCTGTAATTATGAGAAGATTTATTGCACTCACAAACAAAACTATAATTAAAGAAAGCAAATGACCAGATTAAAAAGAATATAATATACATGTGAATTTTTTATGTGTATAAATATTGAGTATCATCAACGAGCAGAAAAAAAATATAAGCAAGATAATTTATTTTAAAAACTATTTATTTTCTTTATTCATTAAAATGTTTCAATTTAACACAGGCGAAGACATCATACACGAAAACTCTTTTTGTCTTGTTAACATAATAATTTAATTCACTTATTTTCTTTAGTATTCTTCATCTGTTCCAGCGGTTCAGAATCATTCACATACTTAACCAAGAGTTGCATGATTTCGATTCTGAATTGTAAGCGATCAGCCAGTTTTAATTTGCACAACGTGGGGTATATGAATTTTAAAAATGTTAAATTGCCTCTCGAAAAATCCAGTTCAGTAATTTTTCTTTCAATTTCATCCATTTCAACTGAAACAAAATGAGTTACCAATTTTTTTAATTTAAAATATTCTGATGGAATTTTGTGTATTCTAAATATACTTTTTTTGTTATTTACCTGTTTCAATTTTTCAAATCAGTAATTTTCGTAACACGTACAAAATACAGACGCACAACACTAGAGACGGAGCCGAGAACCCTCGCTTTACCAGTACGTGAGAGAATATGTCATCGCTGTGCAACGTTTAAAACTTTCGGTCGTCTGTCGTCGTGAATCCCTACTTCTCCCCCTTCTCGCTTGATTCGTTACAGAGTGTTGTTCTGTAGCTGCACCGTTTGAATCGGCCACAGCCGAGTCTCTCGCATTGTGACTGGTCAGCGTTGTAAAAAGCCGAGAACCGTCGCTTCAGCAGTACGTTAGAGCATACGACGCTGCTTCTCAACGATCGAAATTTTCATCTTTTGTTTTGTTGACGATACGAGTGTTCGTTCGAGTTTATCCGTTTAAATCGATTAGTTACTGGTCAGAAGCTACGACGCTGGCAAAGTTTGATTTTATGAGTGTCGACTCGGAATTTTTTCGTTACATCTTACTTTAATTTTAAAAGTGGAACGTTTTAGACTACATCGGATCGTACGAGTATTGACGAACTATTTTTCGATCAAGAAGCTGTAAAAAGTAAGTGCTTTTCATTATATTATTTTGCTCAATGATTGCAAGTGACATTATTCATAATGCAATGTATGTTATAACTCGACATAACCTCCTTCTTACATTGTTTTGTTACTTTGCATGTCAAACGATTATAGTAGTTCGAGCTAGCTGCTACTATACTTTCTTTTTTTCCTTAATTTTGATTGATTTTCTCATGATTTTTGGATTTCATTACACTTTTAATATTATTGTCAGTACATTTTATTAACAATAAATGGATGATTATTTTTGTAGTGACTTTCACTTGGACTGATCCTAAAGTTGTTGCACTGATTGAGGAAGTTGAAAAATATCCTACAATATGGAACTTAAAACATCCAGACCACAAAAAACAAAAGGTGTTGTCTTCAATTTGGAGCAAAATTGCAACAACCGTTGGCGTTGGAAGTAAGCTATGATTATAAATGTTTATGGGTTATATCACAAAAATTTGCTAGTTTAAAAAATGAAATTGAAACAAAGTATGTACTCTTGAAGAGTACATTGAAAGATGAAAATCCTGAAAATTTCATTTTTTGAACTAGCAACTCTTTTGTGATATGACCTTTATATATCATGTATCAACCATATTATTATATAAAACTCTAATTGAATAATAATTTTTACAGAGCTTCAAGCGAGGAACAAATGGAGAACATTGGCAACAACTTTTAAAAGTGAACATGCCAAATACAAAATTAATTTACCATCTGGGTCTGCAGCTACTTTTGAACCTGAGGACAGGTGGAATTTCTACGATGACATGAGTTTTATGATTCCCTGTATAGAAATGGAAATGAGTGGAAATATCAATCTGAGTTTTCATGAAATTTATGCTAACCAACCTACGAGTCATGGTATTGTGTCATCATCAGTGCAACATCCATCAACCTCATGTCAAAATCAATGGACGTCATGGCAAAATCAATTGACTTCAGGTCAAAATCTATCAACATCAGGTCAGAATCTATCAACATCAGGTCAAAATCAATCTACATCATCGAAATCAATGCCAAATTCATTGATTGAAAATGAGTTCAACGTTACTAATAATATTTCCACAGTAATGCCGCAAGCAAGTGTTAACGGTAAAGCTGACTGGAAATTCCTAGAAAGCCTTGATTATTATATGAATCTAATTGATGATCCTACAACGAAATATCAGTTCTGCCTCGAAGTATCGTGCTCGCTATTCAATATTTTGCAAAAAAACAAAGAAAAGACTGAAGATCAAGAGAAGTGCGTTAATTTGAATAATATTAAGATGAGGGAAACAGTTGATAATAATCATATAGATTCTATAAACAAAAAAAGGCCAATTTCTTGTGGTACCGAGCTTTGCTCCAATTNCTCTAACGTACTGCTGTCGCAACGGTTCTCGGCTGTTTTACAGCGCTGACCAGTCACAATGCGAGATACTCCGTTGTGACCGATTCAAATGGAGTAGCTAGATAGAACACTCTAACGTAACGAATCAAGCCAGAACGAGAGTGATAAAGGAACGCATCGTTGTCAAGACGATACGAACTTTACAAGTGATTCTCGAATTGTGGTATTATCACGATTCTAATATTCGCGATATTTTAATCACGATTATTAAAATCACGATATTGAAATCGCGATTATTAGAATCACGGTTTTAAAATCGCGATTATTATAATCACGGTTTTAAAATCGCGATTATTAGAATCGCGATTATGAGCCGCGTCATAGTCGCGATTATTAGAATCGCGATTATGAGCCGCGTCATAATCGCGATTATTAGAATCGCGATTGTAAGGCGCATCATAATCACGATTATAAGAATCGCGATTATAGGTCGCATTATAATCACGATTATTAGAATCGCGATAATTAGAATTGCGATTATAGCCGCATTATAATCTCGATTAGAAACCCGGGATAACCACGATATAGCTTCGATATAATCGCGATTTAAACCACGGTATAATCTCGACGTAATCGCGATTTGAACCAGAGTATAATTTCGGGATAATCGCGATTAAGACCACGGTACAACCACGATCATAATAATCGCAAATCGCAACTCCTGCATTAGGAGAACATGCATCGCTCGGAAAGTTTATGTGGATTGGACGAGTGCGGTCAATTTGATAATTTCGATTTGCGATCCGACAATTTGAAAAACCTGGGCATCTTCTAACTAAGCGAATAATCGCGCCACTGTGCAGGCACTCATAACATGCGTAATTTTAGCAACCTTCGTGGACTGTCTTTTATCGTTCGATCAAAGTGCCTAGTTTCTCAAATTATTTCTTGCATTTGTCATTGTCAACATTTATCCGGACTTCATGAACTCTTTTTTGGTGCTTTAGCAAATTCGATTTATATCCAAATTTCGTGGCGCATTCATTGCATGCATAATCTTTCCGACCTTCATGTACCGTCTTTCGGTGGGTGAGCAAAGTTACTTTTTGTGTAAATTTCTTCTCGCATTTATCGCAAGCAAAATCTTTGTATCCTTCGTGTACTGTCCTTTGGTGGATGAGTAAATTCCCTTTTTGTGTATATTTCATCGAGCACTTGTCGCATATGTAATTTCGACCTTCATGAACTGTCTTTTGGTGTAAGAGCAAACTCGATTTTTGCGTAAATTTTTTCTCGCATTTGCTGCAATTCAAATCTTTGCTACCTTCATGTACTGTCCTTTGGTGCCAAAGAAAATGATGTTTAAAACCAAATTTTTTCTCGCACTTGTCACATGCGAAATCTTTCCTACCTTCATGGACTGTCTTTTGGTGCTTCAACAAATCTGACTTATATCCAAATTTCTTCTCGCACTTGTCGCATACAAAATCTTTACGACGTTCATGTACCGTTTTTTGATGCCTGATCAAATTACTTAGGCTCGCGAATTTTGTTTCACACTTATCGCATGGGTAATCTTTGCGACCTTCATGAATTGTCTTTTGATGTAAGAGCAAGCTCGGTTTTTGTGTAAATTTCTTCTCGCATTTGTTGCATTCGTAATCTTTGCGACCTTCATGAACTGTCTTTTGGTGTAAAAGTAAGTGCGATTTTTGTACAAATTTCTTTCCACACTCGTCACATAAGTAATCTTTCAGGACTCTAACAGCAAAATCTTTGTGACTATCGTGAACTGTTTTTATGTGCAGGAGCAAACTCTGTTTATTCCCAAATCTCTTGGCGCATTTTTCACATAAATAATCTTTGAAAACTTCATGGAATATTTTTGTATGCTTGATTAAAGTCGATTTATTTTCAAATTTCCTCTCGCATCTGTTGCATGCGAAATCTTCACGATCTTTGTGTACTAATTTTTGATGCGTGAACAAATTCGATTTCTTCACAAACTTCTTCTCGCACCTGTCGCATTTTAAATCTTCGCGGCCTTTGTGTACTGATATTTGGTGCCTACTCAAATGACTTCGGAATTCGAATTTCTTTTTGCACTTGTTACAGGTGTAATCTTTCCGTTTATTGTGAAGTGTGTCTTGATGATTTAACATGCTTGATTCCAGAGTAAATGCATAATGAGAATTATAACAAACGTATGGTTTATCGTCGGAAACAACAATGTTGTATTCATTTGAATTATCTTGAGAGGCAACTGCCACGGATTTCTCCTCACTTTTATTCATTATGATGCTCAAATTAAACGATGGATCCTTCAATTTATTGCAGGAAAACTGAAGAAGTGAAATTGATCTTTTACTACAATGACTTATTTAATTGGGAAAGACAACATTCAAACTAAATTATTTTCAGTATAAATATGATCAGTGTTTGTGGTACTATGTGAAAATCGTTCATAATCATATTGTTTACAATTGAATTATCGATTTATCTGTTTATGTATACATTGTCAATACAAAATTTGAATTAGTTTGAGCAACGATTTATTCGGAAATTTTTTTGCCCAACAAAATTGAGTTTCAAAAAACTTCCCTGAAATATTGAATCAATTTATTCCTATTCAATATGCATTATGTGTTATAATAATACAACATTTTTATATTTATCCCGAAATTTGTTTTAATTTTGATAAAACATTTGGTTTTCTCTTCTGAAGGTCAGATTTAAAATTTTCTATTTGTATGAATATATATCTTATGATTAGGAGGAAGCTTTTTTTCAGTGAATTGGAATTGCTTATTTTTCTTTTATCAACTGTTTCACCGATGATAGTTCTAATTGAACTTTTTTGAACAAATGTATGTTTAAACGATTTACTTATATTAGAATTGATGAGCGAACTAAGCCCGCCATTATGCGCGATGTATATATTCAGTGATACCGCGCATCCATCAAAAGACATTGATCGTCTTGCGCATTAGAGTCAAAAATCGATGCGACTCCCATGTGCTCGATAGTTCACGAGCTCAAAGCTAGATGGCTTCGATCGATTTTTTACGAGCCCACAAGCGAGTAATCAAAAAAAGAGTACAAGTAGCGGAGGCGTTCGAGCGACAAGACAAGATCATACTTCACAGGATCATTTCTGTAGTGTATCTTCACAGACTCTCTACCCAAAGTAGGAGTCGATGCAGCCACGAGGATGAGACGTGGCTGCCCATTCTGAGCGTGAGGCTGGCGGCCTTGAGTCTCCCATTGCGGAGACTCGGCCTGCCGACGATGATCGTTCACCTTCGGGTTTCACACCCGAAGGGATGGATGGGTAGCTGTCTGAGTGGTACTGTATATTATTGAACCAAAACAAAAATCATGAGCAATAAAAAGTTGATGATGGTAAATGATTAATATAAGCTTGCTTATCATTATGTGAAGTTTATCATAAACTCAATAGATAACTAAACGCTCAGTCCATTTATAGTTTCAACCAAGACGTGGAAAAAATTCTAGTCTAATCGTTGCATGAGCAAAAAAATGCACGGATAGTGACTGTGAACAAATGTGTAAAATGATAGTTGACAACACGAGTTTCGGATAAGGCACAATCATATTCTAACAATTTTTATTGAAATTTTAGAAAAACTTGTACATGAACATCCTCACATAAGTTTCTATATATTTTTGCAATTGTCAACAAAAAAGGAGTACTATTCATTGCTTTATAAGATATATCCTATTTTCTCATGAACTGTTCGAGACTGCAAAGAGTTCGAGAATTTTGTAAAAACGAAAAATTATTCATATAGAACTGATGATCATCTGGCATGAAATTTGTTGCAAGTACGCATATTTGCAATTATGAATAAAACTCATTTATCATGTGCGTAATCTTAACAAACTTCGAGGACTGTCGAAGGAGTTTCTGTGTATCTTACATGCTGTTTTTCAGTATCAATTCAAATTCGATAAAGTTAAATAAAACTTTAAAGATATTGGTAGATATTTAAAGATTCTGGTGTTTTGTTATATTGCCTAGATCCCTAACTATTTTTCTTCACAGATCTTTGCGAACTTCTTGTACTGTTTTTAGTATAGTAAGTTTTACACATCACGCGTATATATACCCTGGTAGCGAAAGTGGACGCTTTGCTCGGCGCCTACATTCTATAACTCGAAGACGAGCACTGCGTAATTTTAGTTACCTATATACACACGCTGTCTCGCAATAATCGGTTACCATTGCCGCTGCTTCTTCTTCTCCTCCTCCTCCTCCTTCACCTAATTTATTTATTTATTTTTTTTTTGCCACTACCTCTGCGGCTCTATTACAATACCGGCTTGCAATAAAACACACGCGTAATAATGCACAAAGCGTCGAAATCGGTATTTGTATTGGATAACGAGCTCGTCAAGAAAAATAAACAACACAGAGCTTAGATCGAAATTACGATTCGGCGAGCTATTGTTCTCGTTCGCGAATTGTGATGTCCGTTTTAATAATGATGTATACGATACAAAGCGAGTCGTTCGATTCTCGTAATGCCTTAATTGAAGTCCCAGCCCTTTCTTACTCAGCGTAACCCGTGAATGTAATACAGATGTTAAAAAATAAAAATGAAAGTCAATTTGACTCCTGCCGAGATTTCGGCGCGCACGATTGACTTTACAATTGATCAATTAACGAGTAGAGACGGTTGAATTAAAGTATACCGTAGAGTTACAGTTATAAATTCGACTGGTTGCGATCGGCTTCCGAAAATTCGCGAGGGAGTTGTATCACGCGCAAAAACGGAAATGACCGTAGTATATAGTGTACATTATCGGTCGCTATATATATAACTAGCGCAAACATAACAACGCACTTTTGTAAACACGCGCGCGCCGCGTATGGTATACGTTTTTGGCATCTACTACATGGGTACTATACACAAGTGCAGCTGTACACACATACACCTATACAGTTTGCAAATATAGGCATTATGATATAGATAACGCGTGAAAAAGCGGGGAAAGGCGCGCGTTTCAACGCACGTTATCCTGCCGCGTTACACGAGTAACATCGCAGACCGACTGGCCGCCTCTGACACCTGTGTGTGTGTATTTGTATGTATGTGTGTGTGTACAGCTGCACCATGCAATGTGCACACGCCAGTGTGGGCGATCGCCATCGCGTATATATATAACTATTTGAAAATACATGTGATATTATATAGCTAGTGCTGACCCCCCCCTTCCTCGTACTCCTCCCTCCCTTTATAATATATTTTAACACACAAAGTTTTGTGCCGTTCGTTCGCTCCGGCGCGCGATGCGCTTATGTGCCTGCGTGTGTGTGTATATGCACTGTTGCTGCAGCTCCGCGGGAGTGCACACAATGATACGCCGTATGTACACTACTTATACTCGTTGGTGTGTGTGTGTGCATTAGGCTCATTTCTGCAGTTATAACGTGCGACTGCCCTGCCTCGACTTTACTTTATATTATATATATACCACTACTAACTATGCTAACTACAATATATGGTTCCAAGTATGCACCGCACATTGTACTACATACGGATAACGAGTCTCGAAGTGAAGGTGCGCGCCGTATCATGCATATAGAGTTTGACGGTTACGCCGCCGTTCGAATGTGTACACACACATTTTTTTTTTTTACGAATGCGATACGACCTCGAAATATATATATAGCGTATATAAAAAGTCGCTCGGGCGTTCGAATTTTTAGGCTTCAAAATGTATGCAGTGGGATGCTTATAAACGGCGCGTCTAGATCTGCCGCGATCGGACGCGTTTTATTATATATATAGAATAAGAAGAAGACGAAAGAAGAAGAAGAAGAAGATAAAAAAAGGCGACGCGAGGAATCTATATAAGTATCTCTGGAGAGGAGGAAGAAGATCGCCGAGCGAGCGCCACATAAGAGAGGCGCTTAAAAAATTTCGATACAAGCCGAGAGACCAGAGAGCGACTTTTCTCTCTCTCTCTCTCTCTCTCTCCTTTGGGCCGTATAATAGTCTACTATATACAGTCTTACATATAGCATGCGAAAAAGTTCGCGGAGTAGTAGTTTCTCCGCATACCGTCGCCGTCTTCATCGTCGTCGTCGTCGTCTTCGTCAGTCCTTCTTTTTACCCCCCTCGTCGTGGCTCGCGCGGCGCTCGCAGCTCTTAAAAAAGTCTCTAGTACTGTTGCCTGCGCTGCCCGCATATAATACACACGGCAAGCAGCGGAGTATATAGTATAGAACAGTGTGTGTGTGTGTGTTATACATTATTACTATATATAATAAGTTGACTGGCTGGCGAGCAGTCCGACACCGCCGCGCGCCGCTGCACACACAGCACACAGCGCGCGCAGCACTACAACAGTGCACATACCTACCTATGTACTGTATACCTTGATACTCGATTCGCAGTCATCACAGACGATACACAACGGCAACGTTCGACCGCTTACACGAGCAGTAACTCCGATTTTGTTATATGTGTGTGTATGTGTGTGTATAATGCTCGATAGTAGTTTATAGAATATAGTGATGTGGTGAAGTGCATAAGCCGCATATATACAGCAGAGTGAGAAAGAAGAGTCCCCGTGGCACAATATATACAAAATATCGAGTCAAACATGCACACGCGTGCATCAGTGGTAGCAGCGAAAACGGAGCCACAGCAGCGGCGGCAGACGCGCGATAATCGTCGCGGCGTTACGGATACGTAATAATAATAATTGTGAATAATAATTACAATCATCAAAAGAGTTCGACGGTCGACGGGCGCGCGCGTGTCCCCGAGGTGTCGTCGCGAAGAAAAAAAGTGACTCGCCAGTTTACGGGCCACACACGTACACGATATAGGAGCGAGTGAAAGAACGTATATATCTATATGTATATACGAGCCTCTAGTGTGATTGTATGTATATAGCCACAAGGCGCGCATACTTTTATTTACCGCTCTCTCTCTCTCTCTCTCTACTTCTGCTGCTGCTGCTGTATGCTGTATGCTGCTGTGCTCTCTCCGTGAGAGACTCTGCAGGCATCGTCGTCATCGTTATTGAGTGTGTGTCTGTGTGTCTTAGCTGCGGCTGCTGCTGCTGCTGCTGCTGCTACTGTGCTCTCTCTCTCTAGCTCTTTCTTCAGTGCATATGCAGCGAGTGTGATACTTATATATATGATCCCAAGTGCTCCGCTCTGTGCTGCTGCTGCATACGTGTATATTATAATACACACATCATGTGTGTGTGAGTGAGTGAGTGCTGCTGCATGTGCGCGCGTGTGAGTGCAGTGTCGTCGTCGTCGTCGTCGAAAAAGTTAAATACCTCATCATCATCATCATCATCGTCATCGCCGCGTATCGTCGTCGCGTCGTCGTCCTCGCGTGGAAACAAATGTGCCTGGACAATGTCGAATCCTTGCGGTAGCAGGAGACCTCCGCCCACCAAGATCCGTTTAACGAGTGAGTAGAGTACTTACTATGAGTTAGTTATGTAGAGTTGGTTGTCTATGTGTCTCGTTTACGAGATGCGAGCTGTTTTTCTTTTTGTTTTTTTGTTATTGAATAAACAATAATAATGCGCGATACGCGCGCGAGAGAGATAACAACAAAAAATAACGTTATAACCTCATCTCTGTGTAGGATTTGAGTATAGCGTATATATAAGTCACATATATATCCATACGACTCCTCCTCTTCCTCCTCCTTCACCTCCCTTCCTCACTCTGTCTCACTCTTGCGCTCTTACTCGCTCTTTCCCTCGAGCTATCTCTGTCTTTTTTCTTTCGTTTTTTTTTTTTAATAAATGCATTATACAGCTATCTCTCGTGCATTACGTTTCGACCGTAATCGGTAATCGTTTGTCGTCGTCGTCGAGCGTTCTCGGCTGGCATGCAACACGACTCTATATGTTTTTAATTTACATGCATTGTATTTTCAATATGGCCTCTCGGCTCGGGCGCCCTGGCGCCTCCAGGCTTCTCTTCTGCTTCTTTCGATTGCACGCGCATTCCACACGACCCTGGTACATGTTTTTTTCTTTTTTTTTTTACACGCTCCGCGTATTCGCGTGTACACATTTCTGTAAATGCAATGATTTTACAATTATGACTCTTTATTGAGACTCGTACTTTCATGACTGGAACTTGCCTATATCAAACGGCAAGCATGCTCTCTGACACAAGCGTACTGACAACTTTTCCAATGCTTGGAATTGACTTAGATGAGTTTTTATTATGATTTAGTGTTGAGAGGAGTTAGGTGCTGTGCATATAACATTTATCCTTGATAAATAAATTGAGCTGTTTCTGATGTAGGAACAATTCTGAATGTAATTGATAATTTTTTGATTTGTTGATTTTCTTAAAAAGATATAGACTCTAGTTTAGTTATTTTCCAATGACAAACTTTAACAACTAGCCTAGTTCAGTTTTCTTATATGTTAAAATATTTAAAGTAAGTTTTTGTGCCTATTATTCAGTCAGACGCAAGGTAGCTTTAAAACATCTAATACAGCACATTACACAAGTGACTTAGAATGGAGCAAGTTACAAGTTCATTGAGGGCATGGGAGAGATTAGGCTATTAAATCTAATACTTCAAGAATGTCATACTTCATTTCGAGTGAAAAGAACAGTGTTTTATCTTTAGATCTTACTGTGAATCGTGGCTAAGCAAAATTTTTGATTGACCATATCTATGATAATCTTAGTTTTCAAATTCTCCTTTTAACTCGTTCATGCTCATACAGCTCTGATCAATTTTTATCTTAATCAATTAGTTACTGATTAAAAAGATTTGGATCAACAATTATACTTAGATTTGCTTAGAGCTGTCAATCTAGTTTCAAAAGCAATTACATTTAATATTTTTCATTTGTCACATAACACGTTTAATATATAGTGCTATCATTTTATCAATGATCAACTGCTCAATGAACTTTGATAAAAATAAATTTATGATCATTATTTTTCAAAGGAAATGAAAATATTACTGTTTCAAACATAAAATACAAAGTGACTCAAACAAAGTCAGATTATATATTTCATTGCCATTTTCATATTTTAAAAATTTTAATCAATAATTGAAACAAAGATGTATGCATTGTTGTAAATTTAGTTTTGTGTTTTAAAGTAACATTACTTCTATTGTTTAAATGATTTATTTGTTTAGCACATTTGCATAGAAATTCCAATGTCAATAAACTAGACAACTTATGATTCAAAAACTAATAACTTTCAATGAGACATTGCTTTACCGCTTTGAATGAATTTTTTATCTTCTGACCAAAAAGATCAAGCAATTTTATGCTCTTTTGTCCATCTCTCTATCTCTCTTTCTTACACATACATACTTATTTCAACATGTTTGCTCTCTTCATTGCTCATTCTCTTTCAAGCTGGAATTCATTCAATTGCTTAACTTTGAAGTGATTGACACAATTTTTTACAACAGTCCAAATAATCTATACAATCAAACTTCATTATAACTTATTTATTTGTTTGTATATTTTTTTCAGTCCTGTGTGCTCGGAATCTAGCAAGGAAAGATCTTTTTCGTAAGTATCCTCATTTTTAATCTAATAAACCCGAAATGAAAAATGTAATTAAAACTTCTGAATTTTCTGTAGGTATGCCAGATCCCTTCGCTAAAGTAAATGTCGAAGGCACCGGTCAATGTTTTGAAACCGACACATGTAAATCAAGTTTAGATCCAAAGTGGAATCAGCATTTTGACTTGTAAGTTGCAAATATTCAATTAATCCACAAAACAATACACAGACAAAAATATTTAAATTAGCATCCAATTTGTACTTTGTACCATTCAAATGGCCTCTGTGACCTTTTCTCGATCTATTCAATCCATATAATTTGGTACAATGGCCGCAGCAGCTCGACATTTTTTGTTGAGGCTAATTTTTTAAACGGCAATAATATATTTCAAAGACGATAACAACGTAGGCGTTTAAAATTAATTCGTCTGGCGACTCGCAAGCGCGGCCAGCGTCATTGTAATGAGTCGAACGACCAGTTCGGAGTACTAATAATATTACTCATACAAATATAATAGCCGCCGACTATACGTGTACGCGATACATCGACTTTTGGCTTTCGCCGAGCGCGCGAGCGTTAAATACAATACGCACGATGTTCCCAAGATCTAACACGCTGCCGCGAGAATCGAACAGCTGTTCTTATCGCTTTGTTGATTTTTTTTTCTTCGTTCACAGATACATCAGCAAAAATGACGGCATCACCATATCCGTGTGGAACCATCGAAAAATTCACAAAAAGCACGGCGCCGGCTTCCTCGGCTGCGTCAAGATACAATGCAATACCATCGAGAGACTCAAGGATACTGGATGTGAGTTATATTGTATACATGAAAAATAAATAAAGCCGAGTGAACTTGATGATAATTGCGATGCATGTAGACCGAAACAATGCGTCGTGCGCGCGCGCTTCAAGGCATCCGTTATGTATACGATATATTAATCGATTACTCTTGTCACAACGGAAACAAAAAAAAAACAGGAGAAGGAAAAAATGTGTGCGTGCGATCGCGCGAAAGAGAAAAATTTTCATTTTCCTGAAAACGATAGCGTTCACTCTCACCTTCGGATATGCGTGTACGAATGTTACTATGCAGAGAGGCAAAAATTATCGGTGCGTACGCCCGTAATATGGTATTTACGCGGAGTCTTACGTTACGTGTAATATAAATGCACGGCATGCGCGAAAGGAGCAATCGAGCGTACGGCATAGGCAACGTATATAGCCCATAATAACACACCTGGCTGAGCGTCACTTACGAGAGCTCTCTCTCGTGTGTCTCCTTCATTTTTTTCACGCAAATATGCCGCGAGCACGCGAGAATCGATCGAGAGTAAACGTGCGTACGATTTATATGTACGTCGTTGTCGAGCCTCGTTTTAATTGAAAATATATATTTTTTGCAGATCAACGTCTGGACCTGGTCAAAGCCAATATGGACGACAACGACCAGATCAAGGGCCAGATCGTGATATCGCTGCTGTCGCGCGACGGCCACAATCAGAGCCTGTTCGAGGGCCACAACGCCGTGGTCGACGCGCTGGGCGATCTCAGCTGTCCCGCCGACCTGCCCGAGGACTGGGAGGAGCGCCGTACGGCCAGCGGCCGACTGTACTACGTCAATCATCACACGCGAACCACGCAATGGGTTCGACCGACGCGGTAAGATTATTATTTTTTTTATTTTTCTTTTTAAACGACACGGAGTTGACACGCTTCATTCTTTTTTTTTTTATTCTACCGACACTTCTTCCAAGCTTTGTAGACTTAATTAAAATTTAAACGTTATCGAATTAGGCATTACCATTTATTCAGTGCGAAGAACATAATACCGACGAGTCCGGAGACGGCGGGTCCGCCGCCGCCGCTCGACGCCTGCGAGTACAACGACAGAGCCGGTCCAGCGTCACCGACCGGCACCAACAGCACCAACGCCAGCAATAACACCACCACCGCCACCAACACCACCACTACTACCACCACGGGTGGAGGCAACGGCGGCAGCGACGGGTCGTCGTCGAGTCCCGCCACCGCCAGCACCACGCCGACTTCGGAAACGCCGAGGCGGCCGACGAGGCCGCAGCCCCAGCAACGAACCCCGACGTCCAACAGCGACGAGCAGAATGGCAACAACAATAATAATAATATTAGCAGCGAGTCACCCGGTGGAGGCGGTACGGCAGCGGCACCGTCGCCGGCGCCGAGGAGTTCGCCCGCTGGCGGAGCCGCCGCGTCGAATGGTGGTGGTGGTGCCAGCCAGCAACAGCCGCCCCAGCCCAGGAGGCCGAGTCGAACGGGTCGACGCGCCGGCGATCGCAGGATCGATAACGATCTGCCGCGTGGCTACGGTAAGCGCAGAACGCCATTCTTTGATTGTATATTGTGTGTGCGTGTGTGCGTTATTGTTAGCGAAAGCGGAGAACGGAAATCGTTTGAATTATATATGCGCGGTATTGATTTCTAGCGAGACATTTAAAAATATGCGCAGATAAGTCGAAAACTCCCACGAGTTGAAAAGATGCTTCTGTGAAGAGCTTTTTTAGAATAAATCAGACGATTGTCTTATACACGACGCGTTGTGCATTAATCATCGTAAACCGATTTTCTTTGTCTACTAAAATGTTTCTCGCGCTTCGCCCGCTACATTTTTACGTAACTTTTGTTACTGCTTCGTCCTAATTTATACCCAAATATTGTACGATTTCAGAGACGCGAAAAACGCAGCAGGGTCAGGTGTACTTTTATCACGTGCCAACGGGAACATCGACGTGGCACGATCCGCGGGTACCGCGAGACCTCCAAGCCGAGGAGCTGGAACTGGGCCCGATGCCCACCGGCTGGGAGATGCGCCAGACGCCGTCTGGACGAGTTTACTTCGTCGATCACAACAATCGAACCACCCAATTCACCGATCCACGATTATCACCGCAAATAATTCACAATTATCTCAAGTGAGTATCTCTCTCTCTCTCTCTCTCTCTCTCTCTCTCTCTCTCTCTCTCTCTCTCTCTCTCTCTGTCTCCTTAATCCCACCGCTTATAATAAAGAGCCTTTGTGTAATGTGAGGAAATCGATGTTTTTTTTCTTTTTGTAGAAGAAATGCCTCTTCCACGCAGCTGGCCAATAGGAATAGTACGACGACGATAACGACTGCAACGCCGAGAGCGGAGCCGACCACCACCGCGACCACGACGACGACGACCACCGCGGTTACTACGGTCCCGACTCCGACTCCGGCGATAAACGTGAACCAGCAGAGGCCCAGACCCGAAGCCGCTGGCAACAATAACTCTATAATGAGTACGTCTTTATGACAAAAGAACAAAAACAAAAAAAAGCGTGTGTACCTTACGCAACGGAGGCTGTCGATCTCGCGATTGACATTTATTTGTCGCTTGAACGTAGCGCGAGTGGTTACACCTCAGTCGCGTATCGTGCATGCAATAAAACCTCACCACAAGGTGTGGGAAGTACACTTCTTTACACTGTCAGTGGTGAAATAAGCTTATTAATTTTACTTACCGTTAGAGAGGGAGAGACAGACTGTGATATGAATAAAATTTTTAGCTGAAACAACGGCTACGCCAAATGGTCAAACTATTTCTGATTTACCCAAGGAATTGATGGAGAGCGAACTGCTTCCGAAATACAAGCGGGATCTGGTCGCAAAATTGAAGTGTCTGCGAGCTGAGCTGAACGCGCTGCAGCCGCAGACGGGACACTGTCGATTAGAGGTGTCCAGAAGCGAGATATTCGAGGAATCTTATAGGTTGATCATGAAAATGCGCCCCAAAGACATGCGCAAGCGCTTGATGGTTAAGTTCCGCGGCGAGGAGGGCCTCGATTACGGCGGCGTCGCTCGCGAATGGCTCTACCTGTTGTCGCACGAAATGTTAAATCCGCAATACGGTCTGTTCGAGTACTCGAGAGACGACAACTACACTCTTCAGATCAACGCGGACTCAGGTATCAATCCGGAGCACTTGTCCTATTTTCATTTTGCCGGTAGGATAATAGGCGTGGCGGTGTTTCACGGCCATCACATCGACGGTGGCTTCACCACGCCGTTCTACAAGATGTTGTTGAACAAGGCCATAACGCTCAACGACATCGAGGGCGTCGATCCAGAACTCCACCGAAGTTTAACCTGGATGCTGTAAGGCCATTGTTCTCTCTTTAACATGAAAATAAATAACGAATCGCTTCTCACTGTGTGCATTTTTCTATCCAACGGTATCGCAGGGAGAACAGCATAGACGGCGTGATCGACGCGACGTTCTCGGTGGAGCACAGTAGTTTTGGGGCTCTGAAAAATCACGAGCTCAAGCCGGGCGGCAAAGACACGACGGTGACCGAGGAGAACAAGAAAGAATACGTGAAGCTCTACGTGAATTATCGGTTCATGCGCGGCATCGAGCAGCAGTTTCTCGCTCTGCAGAAGGGCTTCCACGAGCTCATACCGCCGCAGCTGCTGCGACCGTTCGACGAGCGCGAGCTGGAGCTAGTGATCGGTGGCCTCGGCCAGATCGACATCAGCGACTGGAAGCAGAACACTCGCCTGAAGAACTGCACCTCCGAGACGCCGGTGGTCAAGTGGTTCTGGCAGATCGTCGAGTCTTACGGCGAGGAGATGCGCGCCAGACTGCTGCAGTTCGTTACCGGTAGCTCGCGCGTTCCTCTGCAAGGCTTCAAAGCATTACAGGGTAAAAATATCGTTGCTTTTATTATACGTAATTAACTATGAGAAGTAGTTTTTTGGTTCGAGGCTTTGGCTTTGATCGGAGATTAATAATTATTGAACCGTAGGTTCAACAGGCGCCGCTGGGCCACGTCTTTTTACCATACACGCAATCGACGCACCGAGTGAAAATCTACCAAAGGCACACACTTGCTTCAACAGAATCGATATACCACAAACGTATCCAAATTATAAGAAAATGCTGGATAAGCTCACCCAAGCCGTCGAAGAGACTTGCGGCTTCGCCGTTGAATAAGTTGTAAGATTTTGTAGCTAATAGCGGTAATATTTCGAAATATTATTGACGAATAATAATTGTGTGAGGCACGTTCTAAGGTTTTTGCCTTGACAGCTATAGCCATTACTTCTCCGTTAAACGATAGCCAATATATACACGATCACGCACGTATCGCCGAAAGAAATTACATAGTGTTTGATTATACATACTGGTCATGGGGTAGGTAATATTTGGTGCAAATAATGTCCATAATTGTAAATATATTATTTAAAAACGAAAAAAAAAAATGATAGGATTTGACGAATGTTCAAAACGATTTTTATACAAGTGTTCACGTGTTACAGGCTTTATTTTTAAAGCCCCGCAAAACGTTTGAAAAAAATTGACAGCTTAAAAAATGAGCACCCATATCTAGTAGTCAAAAAAATGTTCGAAGATATATATTGTTATTTTCTTTACCTTGAAGCATATCAAATATGTATGCAAATACTCCACTATAGTTTTTTTGTTACTCCAACTCGTATTTTTTGGACTGCTGTAATTATTTTTGCATCTCTTTTATTTTATTATAATTAACATAAAAATCGTTTTACTCAACAATTAAATTGTATGAATTGTAAATCTACTTTATTCGAAATATTTAAGTGGTAAATTTATTAGTTTTTAAAAAGCGTCCAATTGTTCGCCTGATCCCATTGTAAAAAATTAATTGTAAATTTATCAATTCCACGATTCACATATCTTAATATTGCCTTGATAGAACATAAAAATCCTGTTCAGTTTTTGAGAGAAATCACTAGAACAGATTTAAGTGGATACAGTCAATAACTGTACTACTCGAGGTTTATCAGCAATTGAGTCAAAGTTTGAAATTTTTATTCATAAACTATCACGTAAGACAACTTTTTAGAATATCTCAAGATACGTTAGCTATTTATTTATTTAATTTTTAGATCACAGAGTAAAAAGTGTAAATTGATATTTTAATTTCAAATACGTGCTATTAGGTCATAAACTTTTAAATGAAAAATCAATTTTTAATTATTGTTTGGAATAATTACTGAAGTTTATTCGATTATTGACTTCAATTTTTTAATTATAACAGCCAATCGTTTTTAAGACTCAATGATTTGTTGTGAAAATCAATTTTTAAAGCAATGGAAAGTAGTGTTAACCATTAAATATTTTCTACTGCTTAATTTTTCAAATGATGTCCTAAAATTAATTTGATCATCTAAACCAAATTTTGTACATATATTTTCAACGTAAGACTTATAAATTTATTTTTTAGAAATTATTATAATCACTTGATGATTATTTTAAAATGTAATCATGTTTTATAATCAATTATTACAATCATGTTCATATCTGATGTAAATGAACCGAATGTGTAACAGAGTGGCAAATAGATGATGTAATTATAGCAACCAGTCACAATACCTGGCATAAAAAAGTACATGTAGAAAAAGTTTAGACCAAGATAAAACACGTTTATGTTGTTTTGTCATTAAAAATGTATGATGCAACTCGATAGTTACAGATAGCATTATTTTAAAATGATTTTATTGTATTAACTAGGTAACATTGATTTGAAGGTTTGGGTATCTCTCTAGCTCTGTTTTAACAATTTTATCATGAGTTAACTTTCGCAATGGCGATTGATTTAATTCGTTTTTATTTGTATAAAATTAAAGAGAATATTTTTATATAGTAAAATTGAAACAAAATTTGAAAGAAAAATGTGTATAATATTAGGAATTATAATTTTCATATGAATTTATCTAATAATTAATTGTAAAATTTATAAATACTGCCATTGCGAAAAAATGACGGACGTATGTAGAAAAATTTATTATTCGGAAAAATATTTTCTGTCATCAATTCACAAATCTTTCAATAAATGAAATTACAGTTATTTTTTAAAAAATAAAAATAGAATGCATGGAATTTACAAAATCTATTTTCTCATTACTCTATTGAATACTCAAGTGATAATTACTATAGCTTGTCTGAAAATTATTTTGTATATTGATTATTGCTTCAAATTAAGAAGAAAAAAGTTACAAACTTGCACTAGCCAAATTTGTAAGATTTGCCAATGAAAATCAGTGAAAATGTATTTACATCTTATATAAAGATAAAAATTACTTTTAAATCAAGTTATTAATATAACAAAAAGTAACAACTCAATTTAGCTTGAAGAAGCTATCATCGGAATGTAAAAGATTTTCATCAATTTATCAAGATTATTTCTATTTTTTACTTCTTATACGATAAAAGTTGGTCAGCTATGAATAATGTTGTACATCACAGATAATTGAAAAATTAGTTGAACTCTATGACATATCTGAATTCAATACAAATATTTTATTCAGTCTATTGAATTTACGCAATAAATATAATAAATTGAAATTTATACTTTTGAAAATTATACAAATTCGATTTCAATGTAATGGTACATTCATGTAACCTGTGATAAATTGAGGCAAATATTTAAAGAGTTTTGAAAAATCGTTAGAAATGGAAGATAACCGTTGGAAACAATTAATTACCTAAGTATGTATGGTGCAATTTAATTTAATATTATTCATAATTTTGACTCTGTATTTCACACTTTTATCGTTTATTCTTTAATGGTAAATGAAAAAAAAAATTACGTAGCTCTTACTTTCACGTTAACTGCAGAAAGAGTTCTGAAAACTAGAGTGCCTTCATTGTAAAGTGTAGCGTAAAATTGTAGATTATACGGACAAAAGTGGCTTTTTGCTTCATCACACGTATCTAAACGAACTTAAATGAGACCAATTGACCTAAAAGAGCCTAATACATGCTTATTCAAAATATAATATGTAAGATTCGAGTGAACTGATAGTCGTAATTTTTATACGAAAGACATTTTGAGAGAGGGCAATATATCATTATGTATGTCGAAAAAATCAAGCTACAAATTCGATAACTTAATAACGTACCTATAATGAACAATTGTACAATGGCTGCCGAATATATTATATTATTTGTACAGAGTGATCGAGAAGTTACTTTTGGTTCACGAAGACTATTTTAATTATATAAATTGTATTGTAAAATTAGTATTGCAACAATGACTTCTACACCTTGGAATACTTCTCAAAAAAACAACAATAAGTTCTTTTCGTTACGCACAAATCGTAATGCTTGAATTGTCATATGATTTATGTCGATTTTCACAAATCAAGTTAAGCGTTGAGATCAATTAGTTCTTATAAATTCATAACATGTGTGTAACATCCAAGATTGTACGCACGATTTTTGACGCAATGTTCGCTATGAGATAGAAAAACCTTTTATTCTACACGTCACAGCGCAATTATCGAGTTATTTCATTTAATGAAGTGGGCAGACCGTAAAATGTATTTTTCTATGTACGAGTAGCCGATACGGCGATAAAAAATTGGGTCGACTTGTCATTAGGTTCATACCTAGATGTTTGCAATAAATCGTTCTTGATGAACTTGATAAAAAAATGCACAGTCTCTTGATTTTTCCATCATTCAATATTATAGCTTAGATTTCATTGATATACAACTTTTTTTGAGTAAGATTTAGAAAATTGAACCGTCTGTCCTCGCAACATTTATTGAATTATTTTATGTATCAATATTTTATTATATTTTTAAAGAGTATTTCACTTTATAATTATTTACATAAAATGATAAAAATCAAAAATTTTTCTACAAGTTTTTACGGTTTGCAATTGAAAAATTACTATTCATTGGAAAGCAGAAGACAGTTCAAAATTCAAGTAAAACCCCGCCAAGCCTGACGCCTGTAGTTCTGGCAAACCGGCGCTCGCCTAGCAGTAAGCACGTGGGTGTCGACTCGTATTTACTTTCAGCCGGCCTGATCTACGCTTGTTACATTTGACTTCGGTGCTAGTATACTGTCAAATCAACGTTAAACTTTTTAGTCTAATCCTCCAGTATTTTGTTTATACCACGTTAACAATCAACTCATACATTATTCACAATGGCCGCCCCCAAGAAACGCCTGTCTCAGGTAAATAATATAATTTTATACCTGTCATTGAATTCATAACCTGGTACAACGAGTGTATATTTTTAAGATTTTCGTTTGTAAATTGGTAAAAATGCAATTGTTCATTTACAGCTGGCCGGTGACGGTAGCAACGATGAAAAGTCGGCTACTTTTGTGTTTCAAGACGAGGGTCACACTCTTGGAAATGCCCTCAGATCCATAATGGTTCAGTAGTGAGTATTTTTTTCAAATTTTATATTGATCCATTCCTAAATATTTGATTATTACAATTTTAACTGAATCTTTCAGCCCTGAAGTGGAATTCTGTGCGTATTCCGTGCCGCATCCATCTGAATCACAAATGCACATGAGAATCCAAGTGAAATCTGGCAGAGCTGTTGATATCTTGCGTAAAGGGCTTGAGGATTTATACAGAACTTGTGAACACGTTTCTAAAACTTTTGATGATGCAATGGGAGCATTTCGTGGTAAAGTCAAAATGGAAACCAATTAATTCACAATACTTATTCTCATCAATGATGTAAAGTTTTTATATCTTGACATGTAAATAGATTTGTTTTTTAAGTGAGATTTTTTTAATAAATTTTGTTAAGTAGAAAATTGAAATAATGAGTACTTGTTATTAATATTTTACACATGGAAATATTTAGTTGGATATTAGCCAAGAACGGTTATTAAAAATGATAGAAATGAAAAATTCTTTTTAAACCCTTTATTTTTTAAAAAAATAAAGAATTACATATATAATTCATAGAATATTATATTATAATATACAATCAATATTAACACTTATAATAACTAATGAATTATACTTATAGAACAACTGATGTTACTGGTCTAGCAGCAATCACGCGATGATTTTTAGCTAAATGTTCAGCAAAGAGCTGGTAAGGTGTCTTAGCCAACTCCAATTCTTTCCAGAGATCTGGTGTTAAATAAGCATAAGTTTTTGCAATAGCAGCATAGGTTGCTTTTGCAAAGTTTCCAAGTGTACAAGTAGAACCTCTGGCAGATGTATAACAATCTTCAATCCCAGCCATTGTTAGCAATTTTTTGGGAACAGGCGCAGACACAATGCCAGTACCTCTGGGAGCAGGAATGAGCCTTACATGTACAGATCCGCACTTGCCGGTAACTTTGCAGGGTACCGTATGGGGTTTGCCAATTTTATTTCCCCAATAACCACGTCTAACTGGAACCACTGCTAACTTGGCCAAAACGATAGCTCCTCTGATGGCAGTGGCTACTTCTTTGGAACACTTGACACCTAGGCCTATGTGACCATTGCTATCACCAATAGCTACGAAAGCCTGTAAAATTTGTAATAATTAATTTAAAAAATTTTTCAACGAAAAAGTTGTAGTTCCAGCAAAAATTGTTAAAAAAATAAGTTTCACCTTGAATCTGGTGCGCTGACCAGCTCTAGTCTGCTTCTGAACGGGCATGATTTTGAGCACCTCGTCCTTCAGCGAGGAGGCGAGGAAAAAGTCGATGATCTCGTACTCCTTGATCGGCAGCGAGAACAGGTAGATCTCCTCGAGCGACGTGATTTTGCCGTCGCGCACGAGTCGTCCGAGCTTGGTCACCGGTATCCACTCCTTGGCCTCGTCCTTGCCACGGGCGCGTCCGCGTCCACGACCGCGTCCACGAGGTCCGCCACCGCGACCACCCCGGTCGCCGCCGCGCGTGCCGAAACCTCCGCGGAATCCACCACGGCCACCACCTGGGGCTGCTGGAGCGTCTGCCATATCTAACGATTCAAGACGTTAATGTCATTGGAATTTCTCATTTTTACAATTAAAAGGTATTCGAAATGATGTTAATTGGATCGTCTCAAACTCATAATGAAAAAAGTCAAGCGCCGGTCTAGGAATTGGAGTTTTATCATTACCTAACCTTCTAACGTTTTTGCGAATTGCAAATTAATGATCAAAGAATTTCAATTTGATGTTAACTATTAATCGTTAATTGCTAAATTTTAAAACGTTTTACAGAGAAAAAGAAAAGGTTTGAATGATCCAAAATCGCGAAAAACTCGATTCTACTGCACAGAAAAAATGAATTCCAATACTCACTTGATGTTCTTTCTTTGTTGAAAACTCGGAAAAGACTGATAGCACGCGCCCACGTCTTGAGCACGCAACAGGACGAATTAGCGAGCAAAAGTGCGCAATTTTTTCAATAGAGAAGGGGGTTGCTGCATTCTGCTAGATATCCGGGTGCGATGAGAAAAAAATCAAGGTTTTCATAAACCCGATTGATTAACGATCCATATTCAATTCTTTGCTCGATACTTTTTTTCAATTAACAACATGATGATCCAGTTAACATGAGATCATTTAAAAAGTTTGCCAATTTTTACGATTTCAAATTTTGTCATTTCGAAGATTCGAATCATGCCTCGTTATCACCATATCTCTATTACGCATACACTTATACATTTTTGAGTGGGGACATCCGCCATGGAGAAGTCCAGTTTTCCGGCTACATGCTCTCGGCTGCCCGTATCTGAGCTCGAGGCATGCGACTTTATCCTGCACTCCGCAAATGAATGATTAGGTCATCTTGGAAAAATATGACTAATGATAAAATTGTTCACGGACAAAGCATTGATGCTTGAAATTAGAGCGATCATCATCGTCATCATTCGAAAAAATCATCTACCATTCTATTTCGTACGTTTATTCCATTGGAATCATCGTGCACGCCTGCAGTTTTGAACGCAGAAAAAACATTTGAAATTCATTTTTCGACCGTCATACGATTTTAGCGGGTAGCCATCGTTTACGCATTGGTGCAGGCTCTGCGAAAAAGGGCGAATAGCAAGTGGCCCCCCCTGTTTGAAATAAACGCGAGTGAACCGGCTGGCTCGAGCGCGCGCCACTTCTGATTCTGGCGCAACATTTCATAACCTGCCTCGTGCAGTCTTCATTGACCGTTTGTTTGTTGTCGCGTTAGCTTCAATTGGCGCGAAAATGTCGCAGAGAAGTATCACGTCGTTTTTCGGCAAAAAGGACGGCTCCAAAGTCGAAAATAAAAATGGTGATAGCGATGTGAAGAAAGCCAAGGAAAAGGCGATGGAAAAAGTGGAGGCAGTCGGTGGAAAGCGCAAGCGAGACAAGAGCAGCGAGGCGATCAAGTCGCCGAAAGCCGCCAAGAAGTCCTCGACGAATGATGACAGAAAGTCCAAGGATGGAAAGCGTAAGAGTTCCGAGGACAAATCTCCACCGGCTCAGGTTGCTAAAAAATCCAAACTCAATGAGTCCAATGGCAAAGTTAACGGCAAAAAAGACAGCGACAAGGGCAAGAACAAGAAAGATTCCAAGGACGAGGTGACTAGCAAAAAATCCAAGTTGAATGATTCCAGTAGCAAAAAGAAAAACAAAAAAGAGGATGAGAAGAAGAAGGAAAAAAGCAAAAAATTGGATGATTCCACCTTGAGCAACGAAGATGAAGAAGAGGATGAGGAGATTGAAGATGTCGACAGTGATGATGATGATTCATCAGAACCTGCCTCTGAGGACAGCGAAGAAGAAGTTGCACCTACTCGAGTACTGAGGAGTGCACGCAGAGCTGAAAGCAAAGCGGCTGTCACTGCTAAAAAGCTAAGTAGTCTTGTTGATGATGATACTTCTTCGGATGAAGAATCTAAACCATCTGCTTCTGGTTCCAATAAAGTCAGTAATATTATTGATGATGACGACGATGAGTCTGACGATGAAGACTTTGATCCAATCAAGGAAAAAGAGAAGGTGCTCAAGAAAAAACTTGAAGGTTCTAGCTCATCTCTTTCTGCTGAAGAAGCTTCTGATGCAGAATCTGATGAGCCCAGCCAAATGGAGGTAGATGAAGATGAAAGTAGCATTGAGGAGGAAAAAGAACAGAAAAAAGAAAAAGTAACCAAGGGTAAAGCTACACCTGCAAGTAAAAAATTAAAAGCTTTTGCACGTGAAGAAAAATCGCCTGCCAAGGATGAAAAAGAAAATGAAGAACCAAAGGATAACGATGTCAAAACCAAGGAAGATAAATCAGCAAAGGAGGACAAAAAGGAAACTGATGATAGTGCAGAAGAAAAGTCAGAGGCTAGCAGCAATGAAGATGACAAGGTCCAGTCCAAGACAGAAGTTGATTCTAAAGAATCAAAAGGTGAAAGTAATTCAGAAGAAAATAATTCTGAAGTAAATGGTAAGTCTCCAGAGAAAAATGATAACTGTGGTAAGGAATCAAATAAACATAATCAAGATGATGAAATTAAAAAGATGAAATCTCCATCCCCTAAGAAAGTCAATCCATTTGCTAGTTTAGGTAAAGGAAAACAAAATAAAACAAACGACTCGGCGAACTACGATCCTTCATCATCATCATATCATCCCATAAACAGTGCTTTCTGGAAAGCAGGAGAGAAAGTACCATATCTAGCTTTAACTAAAACATTTGAACTTATCGAGGGTATCAGTGCTCGATTGAAAATCATAGAAATTCTTTCAAATTACTTTCGTTCTGTTATAACTTTGAGTCCTGATGATTTTCTTGCAAGCATTTACTTGTGCTTGAATCAATTGGCTCCTGCTTATGAAGGCTTGGAACTTGGAATTGCAGAAACTAATCTAATGAAAGCTATAGCAAGCTCAACTGGTAGAACACTTGCTCAAATTAAAGCCGAAATGCAGAAAGTTGGAGATCTAGGTAAAGTAGTTGTTAAAGGCATAAAATATTTTAATTCAATAATGGGTATACTAATATACAATTTTTTTACAGGCATAATTGCTGAAGGAAGTCGTTCAAACCAGAAAATGATGTTTCAACCTCCACCTCTTACTATCAATACAGTTTATACTAAATTGAAAGAAATAGCCTCCACTTCTGGACAATCTTCTGGGTTAAAAAAAGTTGACAAAATCCAGTCATTATTCGTGGCTTGTCGTCATTCAGAAGCTAGATATCTCATCAGATCATTGGCTGGTAAACTCAGGATAGGTCTTGCTGAACAATCTGTTTTGCAAGCAATAGCTTTGGCCTGTGCCATGACACCACCAGAACAAAAAAGACCTTTTGAAAAACTTAATGCTTCAAAAGGCATATCTTCAGAATCATTTAAAGCTAAATATGATGAACTAGCACTGATTTTAAAAACAACTTATTGTCAGTGTCCAAATTATAACAAAATCATTCCAGTTCTTCTTGAGAAAGGCATCAAGGAATTACCAAATGAATGCAAGCTCACACCAGGTATTCCATTGAGACCTATGCTTGCTCATCCAACTAAAAATATTCAAGAAGTATTGAGCCGCTTTGATGGACTCAAATTCACGTGTGAATTTAAATACGACGGTGAACGAGCTCAAATTCATATTGATGAAAATGGTGCAGTAAAAATATTTAGCAGAAATCAAGAAGATAATACAAGTAAATATCCTGATATTATCAGTCGTGTTCCTAACACCAAAGGAGAAGAAGTGACAAGCTGCGTTTTGGATTGTGAAGCTGTAGCCTGGGACAAGGAAAAGAAGCAAATTTTACCTTTCCAAGTTCTTAGCACTAGAAAGCGCAAAGATGCAAATGAAGCTGAAATCAAAGTACAAGTTTGCGTTTTTATATTTGATTTATTATATTTCAATGGCACAGCCTTGGTTCAAGAACCATTCCAAAAGCGACGTGAAATGCTCAGAAAACACTTCAAGACCGTTGAAGGAGAATGGTATTTCGCCGAGAGTCTCGACACGCAATCAATCGAAGAAGTACAAGAGTTCCTGGACGTATCCATCAAAGGAAACTGCGAAGGTCTCATGATCAAAACATTAGAAAAAGAAGCAACATACGAAATAGCAAAACGTTCGCGCAATTGGCTCAAGCTCAAAAAAGATTATCTCGACGGCGTCGGCGATACATTGGATCTCGTTGTAATTGGAGGCTACATCGGCAAAGGCAAGCGTACTGGTACTTACGGCGGTTTTCTCCTGGCTTGCTATGACCAGGAAAATGAAGAGTATCAAAGCATATGTAAAATTGGTACTGGTTTCTCCGAAGATGATTTGGCTAAACATACTGAAGCTCTCAAAGAGCTGGTCACCGAGAAACCCAAACCGTATTTCCGTTACGACTCCAGTCTTGAACCAGACCATTGGTTCGAGCCAAAACTCGTCTGGGAAGTTAAATGTGCCGATATGTCAATTTCGCCAGTACACATGGCTGCAAAGAGTATCGTCGATCCGGAAAAAGGAATATCCCTTAGGTTCCCGAGATTCATTAGGATAAGAGAAGACAAAAATTCCGAAGATGCTACGTCGTCCCAACAAATAGCTGACATGTATCTGAGTCAGGAACAAATTAAGAATCAGAACACAACATCTTCTGGCGTTGCAGAAGAAGACTTCTATTAAAGTTTCAATTCAATTGTAATTTTATTTTTATATTTAGAGAAGGACCAATTGTAAATCATAATTGTTTATGTTAGAATGCGATAAATGATTGTATATATTACTTCTTGTTTTTGTTCAAAATTGACAAAATGATTAATTGTTTAATCTTGAAATGTTGCGTTAAAATTATAATCGTTAAAAAATCATTGCAATAGTTAATAGTTATTATAACTGTATCTTAAAGATTCACAGTATATATTTTCAATAAAAGTTGCCGATCAAATGCTACATCACTTTTTACAAAAATTCTTTTACCTAAAATTACCAAACCCGATTATTTTAAATCCAATAATGAGTTTAACGTAACTATGCGGTACAAAATAAAATAAATTACTTTAAAGAACATTTACTTCGAAATAAACGGGTAAGTATCTGTTACATAGAATCATTGGAGTAAAATATAAATTTCAGAAATAAAAAAGTTGAGAGATTTAGTAATTAATATCGGTACATACAATGTCTGTATAATAGTATTTTTATTTCCATACATTTTACATCATAAATAAATGAACGTCAGACTGATAACTACACGAATACACAAAATTGATTAATCATTTTTCCAGTATGCAATAAAAGCGCCTTTTCGTATTCTTTCCATTTGAAGTATTTTTATATAGTCCGTTTTTGATGATTTACTTTTGCATAATGACCACTTTTTACGCTTGAGGATTTTTAGTCCTTATAATACACACATACACGTTGAACGTTTTGTTCTTTTTACTGTTAACATATGCTCTCGAAAATCGAGATTTACAAAAATGTATATGGCTTTCATTACAGTATATTTTGCAATAAATATGCTATTTCTAAAAACTTTTAATATCACTCATCTTTTAAATGTTCCTTTCAGAATGAAGAGTTTGATTCCAAACTCTTTTCTGGGAGGAATAAGACAATAATATATTTTATTTCATTTTTTTAAATTAAATTTTATTCTTAATCCACAATTATTATACACACTGCCTTTATATTATTATATATTAAAATAAAATAAATAACATTTTGCTGCTTCACCAACTTTTTAATCTAGAATCTAAGGAAAATTACAAGTTCTAAATGATTTACATGATATAAATTTGTCACGCTTTGAATTTATTTCAAACATGATATATAAATATAACTAATTGTTAGATACCACTGGTGATAAAACTAGTATTTTGTTGCACTTCATTATAGTATAAATTTGAGTCTTGATCACTTCTAATATCGCGCAAAAATTTATTTTAATTGCCTAATTTTATAGAATTACGTCAAATTACATGAATTTCATAATTTCTGTTCAATTGGTGAGCATTAAAACTATTGAGTCACTTCAAATAATAACAATTTAGTCAAAACAACTGACTTTAGAAAATTCAATTTAATTGAATTTGAAAAAAAAAAATAAACGCCAGAGTTATTATAAAAATATGCAATTTCAAGCAAGTTTTGCATAGTTTCTATTAAATATTTTTCAATAAGCTACGCGCATGTCTTACTTCGTTCATTCTTTTGATCACAACTTGGTCAAGTATAAAAATATTTATTAGAAATAACAAAAACTGCTTGATATTTTTCATACTCTATCCTCGACATCACACGAAAACTTATTTTTAAATTTCGAAATGACTCTTAAAACTAAATTGCAGCATCGTCATAATTTGTGTTAATTTTATCTTGTCACTTATAAATGTTTTACAGCATCTTTTTTCGAGTGTATCTTTTAATTAAGCTGTATTGCACTTGATTTCTTAAAGTAATAATTCCATGTTAAATCATTTTATGCAAGTATCGTGTGTAATATTAAGAATTGAAAACCCTTGGTACACTTATTCTCTGGATAGGATCAAGCAGTTTCTTTACAGTATACTGACTGACATTCATCTTTGCTTTTATAGACAATTTTTTTGCTATAAACATTTCTATATATTGTATGGACCCTTTCTATCTTACATTTATGAAATGAAAAATTGTTGTGAACTATTTATAGTATAGAATTTTAGAAATTAATAATTTTTCATACAATACTAATGTTGTTACTTGTACAGTTATAAGCCTATGTGTTTCACAATAAATTCTGTATTTAAATCTTTAACAGTAAAGCCATACGAAAACTTTATTCATTGTATTACTTTTGAGTGCTTTAAAAAGTTGAAAATACGAATAATTTTGAAATCGTACAAAGTTTGAATTTTATCAATAAAGAACTGGTAACGCTAAAACTTCGTTCCTGTACCATTGAAAACAGTAATAAAAACTTGTTCAAATAATGAAACCGATGAACTAAAAGTAGTTGGTTACATACTATTCACAGAGTGGAACATTATTTAAATAATCTTGTGGTTTATGAGATTCATTCCTATGCATTGTCAAAAATGTAATTGGTATAAGATACTATGATTATAACAGAAAAATATTTTGCGTAAGTTTTGCATTGGTTAAACTATTATTTACGTTATAAATCACAGTCCTTCGTATATTTTACTTTTCAGTTAACTCATCAAACACCTATTTACATGCATGGGTATGACTTTAAAGGGGAAACTTTCATTTGAGAAATAAGGTGATTGGAAATTTATACTTTGCTGTACCTTTGAAAGGTACGTTTTTTAATTTTAAGGAAAATAACAAAAATCATAAACATTGGAATAAGATCAAATCTCAACTCAATCGTAAAGTTAAATCTTTACTTAATATGTAACGTCCTTCAATTTTACTGAAAGGAATAAACAAATATCAAGTATAGTAGCAAAATTAATTAAACAAGTTTCGAATGAGTTACAAACTTAAAGAACTGTAATTTTTTGTCCATTAACTGTAAATAAAAATATTGAAAAACGTAATAATAGATGTCAGTTCTTAATATTATCAAAACTGCCTCGTAGGAAAAACATCTCACATAAAACAATTAACTTTACACAACAAAAATTATACTTCGATAATAATAATATGGACATAATTCATTTTTTCCTCAAACAAACATGGTTAAGTTATCTGAACTATGGATCGAACAATGATCTTGCTCAGATTTTTTTTTCATAAAAAAAAAATTCTTAAAAATAACTCTCATAAAGAGTAAGTGGTTAAAAATGCAAATCAAAAAGTGCACATCATCAGTAGAAGACAGGAGGTAGGTGAGGAGGAGGAGGAAGAGGAGGAGGATGGTACTGCAATCTGCAGTTGGCCTCAGCTCAGTAACTGGCCAGAACCCCGGGTGGAGTCGGCACGACGACGGTGTGCTGTTGAGGTACTGTGGTTTGAGCGGCAGCGGCCGTGCTCGTCGTCGCCGTGGTGACCAACGGATGGCCAACGAGCACCGCCGCGGCGGACGCGGGTATCGGTATAGACGTGGTCGCGGGCTGTCCACCCGCGGCGGCCGCGGCTATGGACTGAGCCTGAGCCTGCTCCGTGGCGTGTTTGCGCAGGTGGCGCAGCATGTTGCCCTTGTCGACGAAGCTTTTGCCGCAGTCGGGGCAGGAGTGCGGTCGCTCGTCCGAGTGCGAGCGCCGATGCGACACCAGGTGACCCTTGCACATGAAGTCTTTCGGGCACAGATCGCAGCGGAACGGACGCTCGGCTTGGCTGCCTTTGTTGTGCGAGCGCATGTGGAAGAGCAAGTTGCCCTTGAGCGGAAAGCTCTTTCCACACTCTGTGCATATGAACGGTCGCTCACCGGTGTGGCAACGCATGTGATTTATCAAGTGTTCCTGCGTCCAAAAAAAAGAAACGTTTAGTTCGAAAACAATCGAGGTAAATTGCCGATACGCAACGGAAATGGGGGTATAATACCTTTCTGGTGAACGGCTTGTTGCAGACGTTGCAGCAGTGGGACGAGTCGCCGGTGTGCTGGCGCAGATGATTGTTGAGATGCTCCTTGCGCGTGAACGTCCTCTGGCAGAACTCGCAGCGATGCGGCGACTCGCCGGTGTGGATGCGCACGTGATTGGTGAGGTGCTCCTTGCGCGTGAACGACTTGGAGCAGAAGTGGCAGCGATGCGGCGACTCGCCCGTGTGCTGGCGCACGTGATTGGTGAGGTGCTCCTTGCGCGTGAACGACTTGGTGCAGTACTGGCACTTGTGCGGCGACTCGCCCGTGTGCTGCCTCACGTGATTCACCAGGTGGTCCTTGCGCGTGAACGCCTTGGGACAGTACTGGCATCGGAACGGCGTCTCGCCTGTAGATTCGCGCGAATCGATCGTGAATTATTGTTTGAATCGTAGAGCGATAAAATCGTGTACTCGTGTCAAGTTTAGAATTGTCACTTCAGTGACATGTATGTTCACTTTCGCAATGTCGTTGGAAAAGTTTTTGATAATAGTTTTAGGCGATTGACGCTTTCAAATATTTTTTGAAAATAGACGCATCAATCTGAATGAGAGCGGTATGAGAGGTAGTAGTTGCTCAAAATATAAAGGCTTTTGTTATTAATCAATTTCAGATAGATAGAGATAGATTCGCCACAGATGATTGATAATGACGCGGCGTTCGATGACCAATGAGAATAAGAAGAAAATGAAAATAACGTAATAATAATAATAATAATGTAACGTATAGTTGAACAGATGATGGGTGTAAGCGCGAAGTGAACAATCTCTGCCAACCGCTCTCACCTGTGTGTTGGCGGATGTGATTAACGAGGTGTTCCTTTCTCGTGAACGATTTCGAGCAGAAGCTGCACCGGTGTGGTGACTCACCCGTGTGCTGCCTGACGTGATTGAGTAAGTGCTCTTTGCGCGTGAACGTCTTGGAGCAGAAGTCGCAGCGATGGGGCGTCTCGCCAGTGTGCCACATTATGTGATTCGTGAAGTGCTCCTTCCGCGTGAAAGACTTGCCTGGAAGAAAAGAGAGAGAAACGCAAGGGTAGTAGTCTAGTTCAGTTTGTACAGCAAAAAGTATAAAAATATTATGTATCGATGATTAATGAATCGATGTTTCGTGTATTTTCGTGTATATTCTTATATACAATCGCACGAACCGCTGAGATTAATGAGATAAGAGACTGCAGCAGACGCTGCATCGAATTGCTTTCTCTGATCGATGAACGATTGAATGCCAGTCGAATTTAACATAACAACTTCATGAATATCGAGTCCTTACGCGAGAGTTTATCACAATATCGCTCGTCGACGCTCCGATTATCGAACAACTGTCCGGAGAGCACAACATTCACGCCCTGCTGACACTGTACGTGTTTTTGTTTTCTGCTGTAGAGTCGAAGGGATCGATTGTGATGCGAGAAAAGGTTAACTAGGGTCACGCGAAGGGGGGGAGTGAGTGAGAGAGAGAGAGTTGCATATAAAAGGATGAACCTGCGCGTTGCGGAGGGTGCAAATGGACGCGCGGGGTAAATACGGATCAATCGAAGAGGGGATTCTCCATTTTAATGAAAATTGCTTTGCTAAGTGAAATTTCACGAAATCTCGTTGAATTTAATTTACGAATGAAATGAATCATGCTAATTGTAAAAAAAAAAAAATTAATTTAAAAATTATTGCAATAATTAATTTTAAAATTATCGCAAAGAAACTTACCGCATATTTCACATCGGAAAGGAGTGTCATTGGTATGAGATCGCATATGATTTGCCAAGTGCTCCTTACGGGTGTACTTTTTGCCGCAAACTTGACAGTGATGCGGTGTTTCGCCGGTGTGCCACATCACGTGGTTCATGAAGTGCTCCTTGCGAGTGAACGATTTTTTACAGATATCGCAACGATGAGGCGTCTCTCCCGTGTGTTTGCGCACGTGATTGACCATATGCTCCTTACGCGTGAAAGTCTTTGCACAATACTGACACCTACGAATTCATTTCGATTTTTAGGTATCATTATTAATGCCTTGAATTATTTTAATCATTTTCATTCGACAAATGGATTATACCTGTAAGGAGTTTCGCCTGTATGGCATCTCGTGTGATTGTCCAAATGTTCCTTTCTTGCAAAACTTTTACCACAAACGGTACAATTGTAGGGTTTATCTGTGGCGTGGCGCTTCATGTGTCTTTCCAAAGATTGGGCATTCGCAAAAACTTGGAAACACACCGCACAAGTAAACATAGAGCCGCCCAAGTGGCACTTGCCGTGGCGAGTCAAATCGTTCGCGGTGGTGAAAGCTTTGCCGCATACCTTAAAAATGAAACAAATCAAAATTTTTATTCAATTAAATTTGAGAACATGCCGACTTCAATCGTGTAAATCAACACTCACTTGACACGTGAAAGGTTTACGCTCCGTATGATACCTTCTGTGTACGATTAATTGGTATCGAAATTGAAAAATTTTCCCGCATACCTCGCACGAGTGGGTACCAACTGTCAATGGAGATACACTAGGGCCCGGTGTCGCCTCACCATCGCTCGATTTAATTTCGAATTTATTCAGCTGCACTGGTTGCGCTAGCTGCGTACCATTTTGAATGGTCGTGACGGTCTGAGTAGGTAATGTACTACCTATTAACGTCGTCCCAGCAGCGATTTCGCTTTGCAATTTTCCAAATACTTCGTGGTAAGCGAGTATTTGATTTATTTGGTTAAGATCTTCCACGTTCACGGTCCCCTGAAAGATTAAAAAAATATACGTAAAATTTATAATTAATTTTTATTTAATAAATAAGATATTAATATTATTTACCTTATTGATATATTGAGTTATATCAACACCTAGGGTTTTAGCGATATCTTGATCGCTCGCCGTAGTAATTTTAACAATCGAACCATCTGCCGTTCGCACATCCATCATATGACTACCTGCTTTCAGATCAGGGACTTGAAATTGGGTCATATTCAGCTGTCGAATATCGTCTTTCTTTTCCGCTTTATCAACTGCACTGGTACTCATGACATCACTAGTCATAGCAGTACCAATACTGACATTGACTTGTTGATGATGCATGAGATTCTGCTGTATGTTTTGAGACTGTTGATGTTGAATTCTGGAAAGTACCTGAGCATTGTTGGATTCTTGGTCCTTATTTTTGTTATCTCTCACAGAATTTTGATTTCCTTGTGATATATTCTGAGAGGTCTGATGATTTTGAATTTGGTGATGGGTTTGAGCTTGTTGCTGAGGTTGGTGCAACTGAGATTGCTGTTGGGATTGCATCTGCTGATGTATTTGGGCTGCTTGCAAATGACCTACACTGCTTTGAAGATGGTTTCCATCTAGACTAAGGCCTGGGAGTGAAACAGGAATCTACAAAAACATTTTTAATATTTAATATGTCTTTAATAAAATAAGTAATTTATACTTCAAATATTTTTTCATTTTGAATTTTTAAGAAAAATATTATTGAGCTAACAAGCCAAAAAGCAGCAAATATTTCATTATTTTTACTAATAGTCTACAATGAAAAATATGCAGAGAATCTTTATTTAAATTTAACTAGAAATATATTTTGATCTCATTGTAAAAATTTTCACATTATTGAGGATTAAAAAATAAATAACATGCTTGCTAAAAAACGAACCTGTATTGCAGTATGCGTCGAGGTCTGATGTCCATTTCTGCTAACAGAGGATTGTGAGTTTTGTTGAGAAACTTGTGTTTGAAGTTGTGTGCCACCATTAAGTGGCATATCTTGATTAATTATTATGGTAGATTCTTTGGTGCTTTGATTTTCATTTTGAGATACATTGGACTTATTTGGCTGGTATACGGATACCTGAGATAGTTGTCCAGGAAACAAATTGGTAAGAACCAAGTACTTTGCTACTGAAGAGGCTAATGCAACACTGGTCAAACCTCCTGAGAAAGAGGATCGATTGCTTTGATCTGAGTTTATTTCCTATGATACGCGTATCAAAATAACAAAACAAAAAATCATAAATCGTGCAGCAAACATAAAATTATGTATACATTTTTTGTTGTTGTTGAAAGCAATAGCAGCAAATGCACTGAAAATGTTAACCTGACTCAATTATTTTCTCAACTTATCAATAACTTATCAATATATTGGCAAAAAAGAATGCTCCAAGCTCTATTTAAAAAAAACTTCATTTAAAACTTTTGCAAATAACACAAAATATAAAACGTTTTGATTGTCAAAATTATCTATGCACATCCAAATGCAACAAACGACTACGCAAAAAACAAAAAGTGAAAATAATTGCACCAGTATACGCATTTGAAAGATTCAGAGGTAAAAATGAATGCGTATTTGCAATAAAAAAAAACACTTCATCCTCACCTCTTGCGCCTGTGTTGTCACAGGTAGGGCATGCTGTTCGTTATTCATGTTACTTCAATATATGTCAAGTACACTCCAGAGTCTCCATATTCGATTCTGAAAATGAAAAACAATGCGGATCGTGAGTACAAATATTTCGACGAAAGTAACATCGATCTCGACATCGCGACGAGCGAAATGTCGCGGCGATGCAGCGAGATAATTAGAACGAAATTCAACAAATAGAATTATAACCTATGCAGCCACATGCGCATCATCGTCTCTCGCGGGACAAAGAATTACGAAATCGCACGGAAAACAATCAACCGATACGCGTATAGAGGAAAAAGGAAATGTGCCGATCGAAGACCGACACACGGACGAGTCGCTCGCTCGAAACCTCATAATTTACGAATGTTTTCGATAAACGAACTATTTAATCGCGACGCGCATCGTCCGTGTGTATTTCGCTAATTCACGGTATTATGTCAAAATATACGAGCGCGCCGCGCAAAAACACACGGCCTCAAGATGGTCGTCGTCGTCGCGCCTGTCGCCCACACATATATGCACACACGGAGAGACGAACGCACATATTGCGCGTGTGTGTGCAGCAGCACGCAGTTTAGTACACATGCAGTTTATAACGCGGAACGCGCATATCTATACCGTATAGACAATTTGGATGTGCATCTCGATGAACGAGATACTTACGCGTATCGTATTACGTATAAGTGGGATGTATACATTTAATGAACTTCACTCGATGCACACAGCTTCGTATTGCAATCGGCAAGTACTCTGCGCGCGCGACATGTATATAATGTACTAGTCGGAGTCACAGACGAGCTTTTGGCGCACGGACAATTATCGCGGATATACGAGTCGGAGTTTGCACATCTTCGACGCACGAAGCACCGATACGTCGCACACACGGACAAATGCACACAATCGATGAAGAAGTACCCGCGACACATAAACACACACACACGATGATGAAAATGCAAAAACAGAGAGACTCACGTGGTTGTGTGTATTATATTCGCCGTCGCCCGGTGCGTGCTGCCTCGGATGTTATATGGCGAAACGCTGCTGCTGCTGCTGTCGCTGCTGTTCAGTGCACACGATCGCGACGCGCGCGGGTGTGCGGGCGGGGGGGTGCACGGGGGAGCGGCTCTCCGCTGCCTATACTGCACTGCTGCTGCTTATGCTGCTGCTGCTGCCGCCACTGCCGCTACACGGGCCAACACATATACGTACGAGCATTACAACAATGTGTCCGTCTGTGTTATTGGCATGTGTGCGAATTGGTATGTATGTATTGTATACGAGGAATCTCCACCGCCCCGCGACCTCGGCTCTTATCGCCTCTCTCTCTCTCTCTCTCTGCGTCTTATTGTATATTTCAATAATAACAATAATGGCACGAGTTTTGCGTCGCCGATTCGACGTAGCGAGAGAGCGGCCGGCTCTGCGACTCTTTTTTTCACGATCTCTTCCGCTCTCGGATCGACTGTAAACGTGCACTTGCTTCGCGGCTCGTAATTAAATACGCCGCTACTTATAACACACACCCACGCACTCACGCACGCAACACAAAAGCTGCGTTGATCGCCGCATACGCGCGCAGTCTTCACCCACGGCACGCGACGAGCTGCTGGACGTCGAGACGATGTGTTTTTTGCACTATACTGACGGTCGTCGTCGACGACGACGACGACGAACGGCGACGACGAGTCGCCGCGCAGGGAGAGGGAGGGAGGGGGGGAGAGAGAAGGTGGACGGGCGGTCGGCAACAGAGCTCCCCGCGACGACTTCACGTCCGTATATATATTTATACGTTGTTGTGTTATATATATATATTCTAGGTCGATCGCGCGCGATGCATATGTAATGATAGCTGCGCTCGACGTTGATATTATATATACCTATATATATGCCGCTGTTGCTGTATAATAATATTGTAAGTGTTTTAGGCCGTCATGGCGGCGTCGCGGGATGGCCGACTCATCCTCGGGGAGCGGCGGTCGGTCGCCTCCTCGCGCGCCTCTCAGTTTTATGATGCCTGCCAACAACTGCTATATGTATATGCCTTGCTGCATGCTACATGTATAATTAATATAAATTTGCACACACGCACACATATAGGAGCTTGTTTCTCTCTTTCTCTCTGCGCGCGTATATGGGTGTATTAAGCTGACCCCCCCCCCTTCTCCCTTCTTTCTTTCCTCCCTCTCTCTCTCTCCCCCGCCGCATTCGGAGCGCGCGCGCGCGCGAATAACACACATGTATACGATACACAGTCGTATCTTTATTCGCGAAAATGCGAATATGTGTGCTTAGCTGTGTTGTGCACACAGACTCGCTCCTCGTCGTCGGCCGTCGGCGCAGTGCATGAGTAATTTCTGCGTCGTCTCTCGTTTTCTCGTTGTATTATATGGTATATGTATTTCGATGCGCCCCGCTGCTGCTGCTGGCTGATGCTGCTCTCTGTGTGCTGTTTTTCGGCGCCCGCTGCGCGGCGGCGGCGACGACGACTATCGTCTCTCTGCGAAATTATATTATATATCGTGCGCGGGGGAGAGGGGCTCCCCCCTTCGACTCTCCGATATATTTTGCACGCGAGTATATTGTCGCGTGCGCGGGTTGATACAGAAGATAGCGGCGGCGCCCGAGTGACCGTTCGTCGACAAATTCGCGAGCTTTCGTTACGCTGCGAGCGCGAGTATTTCGCGCGCGGATTACACATGCAGTGCCGCTGCCGCCGGTGTTTGCGCGCATCATTGAATTCTCGCGATCGCGTGTGACGTATCGTTTAATTTGAGCTTTTTTAAAATGATAATAGAGATTGGAAAAGCTCGAGCTTTATCGTGTACGAAATATGGCTTTGTTTTCATTGAACAAATGAGAAACAAACAAACGAAAATGAAGGAAACAATTTTTCAACCCGATGCAACCGCGAAGTATATAATCTGTCATTCGAGAGCCGACCAAAATCGTTCGACCGCAAAGGCATTCTCACACAGGCTCAAAACTCCGAAGAGAAGAATCCTTTTTAGAGAAATCCGGCGCGAACCGGTGTCTTACGCGCGATCGAATTTTTTAAGTTTCCTTTCGCACGAAAACAGGCACAAACTTGTTTTATGCATATCACGATGTGGCTCCTCCTTACTTTTTTTTTCATCGTCTCGTCCCATTTCTCGGGATATACGCCTTTGCGACGTCTTCTTCAAAGGACGTGCGAATTTCGAGCCACGCACGGATGCAGCTTCTTTTTACTAATAAACTTTTATTTTGCATGAGGGCTGCAGCATCAATTACGATCAATAAATATGTAAATGCCGCGCGCGCAGGCACATGTACGGCAAATATTCTTCTCTCTCTCTCGCTAAAATTCAAAAGAACTAGCTCGAAACGATTCGAGCTCATAGCTCCTTTTATTTACTTTGTTTTTTTGTTGTTGTCTTCAACATTTTGCGCAGGCTGCAAATGCCAATCCCATATTCTTCTGCTTTTACTTTTTGTCTATCGCGGACTCTGGAGGCTCTTCGCAGTTCTCTCTCTCTGGTACTTAATCCGGTTTTTATTATATATATTATGTATGACTCATACGTATATAACATAGCTCTAAAATTCTCCATATATACCGGATTACGCTTGTATATATTCCGCGCGGAACACGAGAGAAATCTTTATAGAGAATAATATCCTTTTAATTTATAACAGTGCGTCGATTTTTCAAATAATTTACGACTGCCACACCGCGTAAATTAGTTACCGATATTGTAATTCGAAATTAATTTCTTCCTCGAAAGAAAAGAAGTATGAGTACGGAATATCCGCCCTACTACGCTCGTGCGTCGATAAAATATCGATAATCGTTTTATAAATCGCAGCGAGCTTTCTATACGCGTATAATCGTAAATAATTCGCGCACGTGTCGAGAGCGACAAATCGATTGTGTATTATAATTTGAAAATCATCGCGACCACACACGCATCGACCTATATATTATATCTATATATACGTTAGTCCCATGTACACCGGCTGCTGCGCAATCGGCAAGGTTTTCCTGCAAATTTTCTTAATCCTGTACGACTGTAGTGCAGTGTGTATTGCACAAAGAGATAATTGTGTGTCCGCAATTTTCAGCTACTCTAATGTGCACGTACGAATTATCGTCTCGCGCGACACTGAAACCTCGATTTTTAGAAAAAATTTTTTTCTCACCGCGTTTAAAAACTGTACAACTGACGCGCGTGATACATCGAGTACTTTCAAGCTTTAATGCACGCTAATACGGTTTATATACATTATCAAAGGTCGTTATTATTATAAAGACAAAAAAATCGTTTCCACTTCGTATAGTGCACGTTAGACGCGCGCTGCGCACAGTTATTGATATTATTTATACTTTGATAATTAATAAACGCGTCGCCTTGAACGATAGACACTATCATCGGACGCGAGGAAAAAAGAAATAAAAGGGAAAAAAATTATTACAGTTTGACTTATCTTCGAGGACAGACCTTCGAGATCGAGAACGTTATATTTATCACGGTTTTGTAATTCGAGAATTATTATCATCGCGTACGTTGGATCGATTATAACAGTTATAATAAAAAAATAATAATAATAATAATAATAGTGAAAGTCAATCAAGGCAGTGACTTATATTTTCAACAATATTTAATCGATCGATAAGTAAGTACGTGGGTTTATTAATGAAAAGACATAAACCGATCGTCTTAACTCACATAATAATTATCATTTGAATATAATGAATACGTAATAATATACAGGGGGGTCCGCATGTACTATATGATCGATCGAAAACAATTTTCTCCTCTGTGTTCTTTTAAAAAAAAGTCTATTAACAGCTGCATGTACAGCATCAGCGGCAATTGTGTGATACCGCACCCCAAAAAAAACCGGCCTCTCTCTCTCTCTCTCTCCTATAAAAACCTACAGAGGCTTAAAGCTCGAGGAGCCGAGCATGTGCGAGACACACAAAAAACATCGGCGCACTTGTCGGCCCGCGTGTATTATAGTCGAGTGCGCACTAAAAAAAAGAAGAAGTAAGCAAGAGAGGAGAAAAAGAAAAGCAGCAGAAAAAAAGGACAAGGCGCGACAACGGGCCACGACGGGTCATACGAGTATAATAATACACAAAAGCGCGCGCGACAAGCAGGGACATTGGCAAACACGTATGAACACACACTTACGATAGTATATAGCGGCTTTTATGCGCACTCCCTCCTTTAGCGTGTATGTGTGTGTATCGTACCTACGTTGCAAATGCAGCCTCTAAACGCTCAGGCGCGCAAGTGTATATCATAAAGGCGCTGCAAGTGCAACGTACATACAACGCACCAACACATTCGCGCGCGCGAAAGGAGGCAGGCAGGTAGGTATATGCATGAAAGAAGGAAAGGACTGCGTAAGCGCTGCATCCGAGCGAGAGTCTGAAAGAGACTTTTCAAGAGAGAGAGAGGGGGTGGGTTGCTGCTGCTGCTGCTGCGAAACTGCGAACACATAATAATCCTAACAGCGCGTTATACATAGGTAGCGAACACGCACACTTGCACGCATATACATATACACACACGTGCAGAGGCGCACAGCAGCCGGAAATGAAGAAATGGCGGAGCTTAGCATATAGCACTGGTGATAGGTATATAGTTTCGGAGTAGACGTCGTTCGGCGCGGATGCATCGGCCCCGACTGCAGAAGTTTGTCATACAACATCGTCTACCTGTATCGCACCTGTGTTTGCGCACGCATTCGATACAAATAGATGTATATATAATAGCATAAAGGACTGAATCATATATATAAACTCCCGGTGTCTTGTGAGCGCACACATACGCACTCACACACCCAACGCTGCAGCGCTCTTTATCATAATCCCTTCTGCAGGCAGTGCAGCGCAACAGAGAATGTCCTCCTCCTCCTCCTCGCCGTCGTTGTCATCGTCGTCGTCGTCGAGTTACCCTCGAAACTCGAGGCGGCTTTCGTAGGTATTAGCCAGTTCGACCGTGTCCACTTCTCCCGCTGGACGTATTATTATTATATATATACGGTCGAGAGAGGTGCTAATCCGCTAGCATTAATATATCGGCGGTGTCAGTGTTGCGTGTGCAGTTTATAAACATAGTAGTGCTGCTGTTGGTGCGGTGTTGGTGTGCGTGAACCCATAATATACACTACGCGAGTGTGTATAAGTGAGTATAGGATAATATCATCGCGATCGAGGAGTAGAGGCCAGTTAATATGTATAGAAGCTGTGCCGTGCTGCGGGGGAAAAAAGAGAAAGGCGCGGTATACGTATAATGTACACGGAGCACACGGAGCACAGTGTCAAGCTTTATATTAGACGAGGCACTGACGTCTATCCGCGTGTGTGTGTGCGGAGGTTCGCGCAGACGGACGTTTTTTTTTTCTCGTAACGTTTATAGCTTACGAGACAGACGTGGAGATTGATATCGCAACAACGAAAACGAGAGAGAGAAAAAAAGTGCGTGCGAGTCCGAGAGGAAACTCCGAATTTCGCGAGTTTATAGTGAGCTACATAAGTGTTGCAGGAGTTTAAGTGTGCGCTAGTGTGTCTATTTTTACAGTCGACCGTGTATAGCCATTATAAACGTGCATTATATACACACACAGCTGCAGCAGCAAAACTATAACTGCAAATTGTGACTCACTCTCTACCTATGTTATAATACGTGTATCGAGTGCTGTACACGCTGCCAGTTTCTCTCTCGTGCTTGTGCTGTGTTGTGTTGTCTTGTGACTGTTGTTGTTTAGTTGAGTCGCTACAATCATCATCGTCATTGGCTCGCGGCCGTGCATTGTCATCGATGCGCAGCTGGGGAACAAGTCCTTGCCGCGTATAAAAAAAAAAACAATGAGTCCATTATCCTTGCCGTCTTGTAAGGCAATGAGAGTAGTCGCTGCTCCAGCAGCAGCAGCTCGGTGATTCGGAACGATGCGTCTCAGCGATGATGATGCATCGACGATGAGGAGGAGTAGTGCATTGCACCGCATCATCATCATCAGCGCGACAACAACGACGACGACGACGACGACGATGGCCGGATCACCCAACGACGTTTGAAATTTTTTCCCTTCGACGAGCGACAAGTGAGTTTGATTCGACGTTGCATACGTTACATAAATACATTATTACGTGCATCGGCTTTCGCGTTGTGCTATCTGTACATATATTACAAATACGGTCGGTGCGGCGGCGGCGGCGGCGACTCATCGATAATCGTGACATCCGTTAATTAGTCGTTCGCGCGCGTGGCGACGACGATCGCGTAAATGCGAGCAGAATCGTGTGCCTCGTGTGTGCGTTTGTTGTCTGCAGAAATCCGCGTAGTGTATCCGAGACGCGATGCTCAATGGCTTCTATTTATCTGTCAGTGCTGTTTACCTAATCCACAGAGAGCGTTTATCTAATCAGCGGAGTCGCGAGGGTACTCTTTGACCTGCATTTTGCTCTAATTGTTTTATTCAGTCTTATCAATTGTTTTGTTTGAGAACGGTAGAAGATATTGAATTAACGTTTTACAACAGGTAGTGCTGTTTGCATCCTTTGAGTCTTTTATTAGAAGACAAAAAGTTTATAAATAGGATTTTGTAATTGTTTTACATTTGAATAATACTTGAATAATTTAAATCTGTTTACTGACTTAAGCCAAATGCAAAATATCCAATACACATGATTGAAGTTCTAGAATTAACGATAAAAATTTTATATTTCAGAAACTGACCAAACCATGGATGAGTGTACGCTGAATGATTTACTGGAGTGCTCCATATGCTTGGATCGCCTGGACACTTCCAGTAAAGTCTTGCCATGTCAACATACTTTTTGTAAAAAATGTCTTGAAGAAATCGTAACTGCTCAGAGAGAATTGAGGTGTCCAGAATGTAGAGTTCTTGTCAATGTTAAGGTGGAAGATCTACCACCCAATGTTCTCTTGATGAGAATTCTGGAGGGCATGAGAAATGCCATTCCCAAAGTCAACAAAACTTTACACAGAAGTAACAATGTACCACAGAGATTACAGGGTGGACATCAAGTTTCTCCAACAAGCCCTACAGTCACGCCAAACACACCGCTTGTCATTGTATCATCCGAGTCTACTACACCACAAGCTGCTAAACAAATCAATCATCATAACAGGCCCTATGGTCGAGCCATATATGATTATGTCTCCAAAGTAGCAGGGTAATTTATCTCATGCATTTGATTCATTATAAATAAAGCAGATAAATAATATAAAATTTGATTTTTCAGAGATTTAAGTTTCAAAAAAGGTGACATTGTCATCTTAAGGAAAAAGATTGATAATAATTGGTACTTTGGTGAATGTGGCCCAAACCATGGCGTTTTTCCTCTTTCATACGTTCAAGTAATGACTCCCTTACCTCCACATGTTCCTCAATGTAAAGCTCTCTATGATTTTCGAATGAATAATGACGAAGAAGATGGCTGTCTTACTTTTAATAAGGTATGTATTTTATTATTAAGTAGTCTAAACATCATGTATAATTCATTACTATTTCTAGGGAGAAATTATTAGCGTAATAAGAAGAGTTGATGAAAATTGGGCAGAAGGAAAATTGTTGGATCGGATAGGAATATTTCCATTGGCATTTGTAGAAATGAACAGTGTTGCCAGAGCTTTGATGAAGCTATCTACAAAGTAAGTTTAAAATTTTAATATTATCCCAATTGTCATGATTAATGAATCTAAATGTGTACTTTCATTCAGTGTTCAACCTGGGCCATCTAGGGTAGCTCCACCCACTCCAACCAATGAGGAAACGACTCCTTTGATACCTACCGACCATTCGCGTACAGTTCAAGCATCGGTCCAGCCGAGACAAATTGTTGCTTCGGCGCCAGCTTTGCCAATATCGGAATTGGGCTCGAACGTATCCTCGGGCGACAGCTCGACGACGACTTCCTCACCGATCATGACTAGTACGAGTTCGAGCAATTCCAGCACGACGCCGTCGAGCCCCTGCAGTCCGGCTGTATCGCCACCTACGGTGGCCAATCGACACAGTACGAAGCGTCACAGTTTCACGGGAATTAATAATTCGCATCAAGTCAATCCCCAGCACCGTCATAGCGCGGAAATTCTCAGTATGCCGGACGATGAAGCTGCTGCCGCTGGAAATAATTCGGCCTCGGCTGTCACGGAAAATTCTGGTTACGAGGTAACGCAGCAATATTCATTATTCAAAACTTTGTCACAATATTAGCACTGATATAATCTTGGGATAATTTTTACAGCAAATTGAACCACCGGCACCGCGTCATAAGCGTAGCGGAAGTAGCGATCTTGTACTTTCATCGTCGACATCGATGACGAGTAGCGCTCCAGCAGCTATTGCCGCTGGCTTAAATTTACCTGCACCTTACATCGCCATTTATCCCTATAAACCTCAAAAAGCCGACGAGCTTGAGTTGCGCAAAGGTGGTATTTACGTGGTTACCGAACGTTGTCAAGACGGCTGGTTCAAAGGTACTTCGAATCGTACTCAAAAATGCGGAGTCTTTCCCGGTAACTACGTTGCACCCGCAAAGTAAGTGATACATGGCCGAAATGAAAAATTCGAAACGAATTCACATGGAAATCTAACTGATTAAACTTGTGCAGGTGTCAACGTTTGGTATGTCGATTACCAGGTGGAGCAGCAGCAGCAGCAGCGAGTGGAGGAGCTTCGCCATCTAGTACCGGTGCCGAGAGTAAAAAGTACCCAAAAGCTCAAGCACCTGTGAAATCGCCGCCTCCGGAATTGCCGCCGCGAGCTCTCAGTCCAGCTCCGGTGCCGTGGCCTCCTCGTCAACTGAAGTCACTGAACCCACTTAAATCAATGGAACAGAGCCCACAAGCGGTTGCGTCTGCTCCTTCGCCGTCCGTAGCTGCTATTGCCAGAAGCGTTATGCCAACGATGTTTAGTTAGTCTCTCAAAAAGATCTTACAATTTCGATAATTTCTTCAATCGCATCAGATTCATACGATGACTTTCAAGCTTCTCCAGGTAAATCAGTAAATAGTACTGCCAGTGGAGCAACAACTACTACAACGACTCCAGCGCGTGACTCCGGCAAAAGTCCCAAAAATGTGGCCCAATCGCCTTCAGCTTCGGCAGCGACGTCCGCTGTGGCATCCACATCAGCACCACCAGTAACGCCAAAATCAACCGAAAAAGTAAACTTGAAAGCACAAAAAATTCTCCAAGAATATCAATTATGGACTTTCAATACGTCGATATATATATATTTTTTTTTTTTTTAGGTCAAAGAGAAAAAAGAAAAAGGAGTTTCGCTGATGCGTCGATTGACGAATATAAAAAAGTCGAAGTCTCCGCCGCCGTCAACGTATTCAATGGATAACCCGGTTTTCGACGACGGCAATACAGGCCAATCGTCTTCGTCAATCAACCCAATTCACATTCGGTAAATATCGCCATTATTATTATGCACACATTCTGTGAACGCATTGCATAATCACAATTCTGTGTTTTACATTGAGCTTAATCGCAATTTGTTTCAATATGTTTTGCATATTAAAAATCAATTGAGAAATGAGTGCATTAATAAATAACTCGCATGCCTCGTTTAGCAAGGTTGCACGTTTCACGATGTGATGCTCTATGTGTTATACGAACGCTTACATAAGTACTAGGCAGTGTGATTAATTAGCCTCTGAATTACAATAAAAAACCGTAAAGAGTCATAACTTCATCCTAACTCGTAACAAACGACACTTCTAATATGATCACGTGGGGGGGTGCTTGAATATGAACGAAAAACAGCTCAGGTTCGTGTCCGAGCCAATTGCTGGAAGCAGGCGCTATAACGCAAGATTTGAATACATCCGCCGGCGCTGGTCATCATCGCTCGTATACGGGTCACGCTCACGGCACGACTTCGCAACGACTTAAACACAAGGAAAGGCCCTCTCTGCCTGCTAATTTTCTGCAAAGGTTAGTCAATCATACCTGACACTAATCAATTCATTATCAGGGTTCGAAAGTCGGTTTGATTATGGACACGCAACACACAACTCGTCGATCATTTGTCAATCATTTGTTATTAATAATTGGAATTTAATCAATGTTGTAAATGTTGGTGTGTAACTTTTTTTTTTTAATAATTTTGATTGTTTTCAATGGTTATTTTGAAAAAAGCATTTTTCTTACATTTTTTTGAAGTTCTCATTGTGTGCTATTTCAACAAAAAGAGTTTGTGCTTTGCGCAATAAGCTTTCCACTCTGAGTTCATTTTTGGCTTCATTTTCATCTAAATTTTTGCTGCTTTTCACAAGAGTGAATTTTTAAAAGCCTGAATTAGACGAGCACGATTTCAACTCAGGAAAATTACTCATTTGTACACGATTGTATTTTTGAGATGTTGATGTTTTTTTAAAAACTGTTTTAATAATATATTATTTGATAATTTATATAAATAATATTTTAAGGTGAGTACAAAACCACACAATTGAATGACTTTAAACTTGAATTACCTTTAAAATCAAAGTTTTAAAATAATCCTGAAATCCATTTAATGTTTTAACGCTTTAAATACAGATCAGGCGAACCGGCTGGCCTTGGTGCGACGATGAGCAGCCATCACCGTAAAAGTCATTCATTGGACGCAGGATCTTCTGCCAGAAGACCAGCGTTAAGAGAATTCGGACGAGAGCGGTAGGTGGACTCTGAAATCATCCCTCGAACCTTAAGCTCGCAAAATTTAACTAATTTAAATTGTTCCTCCGCAACAGAATCGAGCGAGTTCATCGATTTCGTTGCATCGTACCGTATCCCCCAAACAGCGAGTTTGAGCTGGAACTGCAGATTGGCGACATAATCTACGTACACAAGAGACGCGACGACGGCTGGTACAAAGGTACTCAGCAGCGAACTGGACGCACCGGACTCTTTCCTGCGAGCTTTGTCGAAGCTTTCTGAGACAGACCTGTGCTCCTCGAAACTTGTATATAAAAAAACTCTTCTCGTTAGGGGAATACCGTAGTCTAACCGAATTACTAACGTACATCTGATACGTTTATGATTAGGTTACGTAAATTTCTTTGTAGGAGAAATCACGAGCGATAATATTGCAAGCCTTGAGGTATTGTTCTACCTGAATTATTCGAATGAACTTTGGGTGGAAAGATAGTAAACCTTATGTAGATTTTTTAACTTTATTAAAAATTACTGAAACCGATATACGAGCCGTATCATCGTATTTTTAGCAATCACGAAACGATTTTGATCATTGATCACGATAATAAATCATCGGTGTTTTAAGCCCTGTATAGTTTTGTAAACCAATTTTAATGATAAAATTGCTTGCAACGGAGAAGAATTTTTTAGAATAACTGATAGAGTGCACAGTTGGATAAAATGTTGAACGAGAGTATTAAAGATTTTGGCATCGCTATATTTAAAGCCGCTTTGGAAGTGATATTTTCTTCGCATACTTTTCTATGATAGAATTTTGTATTGAATGTGACGCGATTTGATCTCTTTTATAAGAATTTGAAAAATTCAATTGATGATAATAGTAAAGCTTTTTACTAAAAACTCTTAGCATTGATTCTTCTAAAGAATCATATTTTTGCTAAAATTTATTTCTTAAATTTTTTTATGAAAGAAGATTGCCATTTGTAAATTAGAATTTGCATTGAATAAAAAAATGAGTCCTAATACTTATTTACGTATTCAGTGAATAATATACGTAATTAGACCGACCATGACGTTAGATCAAAGTACTTGATTCATAGTACAATAGATTAATTAGAGATGAAAGTTGAAAAAATTATTATTTTGATTTTTGTATAATCATACATATCAATATTACTTTTGTAATATTAGAATCGAATTAGAATTGATTTACGATTTATTCATTAACGTTGTTAAAAGAGTAAATTATATTGATTTTCAAAGTGAAAACGAATGAAAAAGTATCGGTGATGCCCAAATCTTAACTACTTTACTCAGTATGTTCGCCATTGCGATTGCCAAAGTGAGTTTTAATTAGATAAAATAGGCATACTGTTGTATGAAAGTTATGCGATGTAGCACGTAAAATACATTATAAATGTAACTAAGTTTAAGAGTACTGACAAAAATACAGTGCAATGTGATATACGCACAGACCATGAATATTTACAAATTATAAAGCTTGAAAGTATTATCGAGCGACTATTGAATTGAATAAGTATTTAAATGCCATAATTGTAAATGCACAGTTTTAAAAATCGACATGCATAATGATTTTATGCGAAAACAATTATTAAGTTCCGTGCAATTTTCATACTGCCATTATTTGAATTAAATTTATTTTACAAAAGATTTGTTTTTTGATTTTTTTTTACAAAAAGAAACCGCATTGAAATATAAAAACATGGATTGTACAATTACAGTAATTGCATGCTTTTATGCAAATAACGAATTGTTTCACCAAAACTTTTTATTGGTGAAATTTTGACTATATTGCCGTGCGATAATCTATAAGATTACTTTGATAGTTCTTTAACGCTTTTGAAGCGTAGAAATTAATGAAAGTTGACAATTCATTGCTATGCTCTTTCTTTCTACGAATTAACATTCATTGCATATACAATACGAGTGAATTACTCGCATTCAAGTGTTGTTTACCAATTGTAAAGATAACATTTATGATTGGACTTCCAGTGTTCATTTTCAGTATTTTACCAAGTCTTGTGTCGCACAGTTTTTTTTTGTAGATATAATAGTCTTGTGACATATTCAAGTAATAATCACAGTATCTTTCTCTTGCACTATGAAATAACGTATTAATGTATTAGCGCATATGAAATCTGTATATTAACTGGATAAAGACAATTTATCGAGTATTATTTATAAATTACTTTTGATCTATGGAACGATAATTAAAGTAGATAAATTATTACGATTGATTGTTATCCAACAAAGTGTTATTAATAATTTGTTGAGTGAAATTTTCTTTTTAATAATTATCGAATCTGTTGTAAAAAATTGCATCGCTCTGCCATGAAAGAAATCGTAAAGTATTGTTTTATCTATTTGACATATTACTAAAAGAGTTTAATTTATGATAATAAGATTTACATTGCAAAACTTCTCACCCAATAGAATGTAATGTAGTACAGTCACATAATATTTGTGCGCTTTAAAATATTATTAAAAAATGTGATGTTCATGATTCATAGCATATGAATAGTAGTCAAAATTTCAGCTTTGTAGTTGTTCAACAGTTGTAAAATAATATACAAGTATTTATCAGCATTATTTTTACTTTATTTGTCGAATTATCATTAGATGATATTTTTTTAATTTCATTTGTTTTATTTATAAAATGTAAGTAAACATCCAGTGTATACGTTTTGCGTACGCATTGGTTAGCGCCATTTAATTAATTTCAAGACTTTTTGCTTCTCAAAGTAAATGGCAACATATTATAATCAGTGCCACAAAATCAATAGTTTCATTTGAAGACAATTACTTGTTTTTTTTTTTATCAAAACAGCAATTTATTTATATCGAATAATTACTTTGATTTCTTATTTTGACCATAAAAAATGTTCTATGAGTACATATAATTTAAAAAAAATTGAAATGTATTTAATTTATAATTACTGTATCATGTGATTGAGATTTCTACTGTAAAATAAATTCGACCGTGTACTAAATAATATCAAGAAAAAATACAGGTTAAATTGTACCATTTTTAAACTATAGTGTATTAATGTTATTAGAACCTACTCATAAAAATTGAATGCCCAAATCAGTCAACATTGAATTTGATTGGCAAACAATTTAGCAATAAAACAGATATCTCGGTTTAATCTGCACTTTCTTTGTAAATAAATCTTACGTACGATTTAAAATTTTAATACCAACCATTAGAAAAGTGTAAAATAAATGCCATTTTAAGAAGATGTATATGAAAACGTACGTCTTAAACGAAAGTAGTAAATCTTGAAAATACTATTACGTTCACTCTGAAAGAACAAATGAAAATAACAAAGCTCGAACGAAGCATTATAATTTAATAAATTAATGTTGACTTTATGACGTTCTAAACGATTGTATATTTAGAATTGATGAACCTTAAGTTTATGATAATTGGCAATCTTGTACATTTTCATACTGAGCTGCCTTTTGTAGTCGGTATTTTAGATGCTCTAGCAAAAAAACAAAACCAAGTACTGACGAACCATCGAACGATGATTTAAAAAAAAAATCCCCCAGTGTAATTTTCAAATTATGCTCGTATACCGGCGCACCTGTGTGTCCCAAGTGTATTCATAAGAAAACAATATTGCTACTTTATATACTATACGAAACCCGCGGTAACACGTTTTTGGTGTTATCGGCGGATAATAATTGCAATTTTCACGATAAAGTTTGTAGACTCGTCTATAATCCGTATAACTCATTTAAATAAATAAATTACGAAAAACGAAGCAATATCAACAACGAAGCATCATCATTTTGTCCCCGTAGCGCTTTCCTTTCCTCGTTGAAATGCATAGCGCGATGAATAATTTTCTCTGCGAAAAATGTGCATCATTGTGCATGAGCAGCAGCGCGCGTCATAGCGCACACAATGCGCGCGCGAAGTCTTCGCGGTTCAACGCTCGGTCTTGAAAATATACGCGCGACTGCTATCCATTATCGAGTATGCCATTCGCGATGCCATTAAGTGGTAGAGTCGTCGTCGCAATTATCGTCTTTTCATTTTTCGATTTTACACGCTTGATTTGGAATACCGATTTTCGCAATAAAAATTCAACGTTCTATCGTCGCGAGATCCCAATTTTCAACGAATGAGATACGTAATCGTTGTAAAGAGCCTAGCGTTTGGAACGACCTCGTTGCTGAATAAATGTTCACGCGACCCTGGAGTAAGGAGATTGAAAAAAGAGAGTGCGCCGACACGGGCGTGCAATCAGGCAGTCGGCTGCACAGTCATAAGTATATAAGTACACGGCATACGTTGCTGCATGCGCGAATTTGTACTGGTGTGTAAACTCCAAAAAAAAAAAAAAAAAATTGTACGAAGGGCGTTAAGTCTTTTCGCTGCGGGTCTTTTCGCGACTCAGGCCTTTATACGATTTTTCATAAATCAGTGTCCCGAAAATCACATTTCCAAATTAACCAATAAACAGAGTGAGAATCTTGTGATTTATTTCTGAATGATCAATGAACATTTCATTAATTCAGCATTTGAAACTTTACAATAACAGTTTGAATTTCATCTATAGAAAATCTTGCATAGTTTGGGTATTCCATCTAGCTATATTTTTAAAAAACATGCTTTTAAATGGATTAGTTTTTATTTATTTTCTGGCAAAACAATTTACCGAATTAGGGCAAAAACTTTTAATAACTAGGGATTTCTGATGAATGTTTGTCCTCTGGTTCGATTAGAGTGTTGGAAAAACAATTTAATATTTAAATGTCCATAACTCATCAAAATGTTGAAGACTATTTCATATCATTTTTATTTTTATAAAAAAAAAAGCTTTTGAGTTTTTAAATGTTAAAATATATTTATTTAAAAAAAAGTATTAACAATATTGTACTTGTTCCGGTCTCAACCTTATGTTTTGATGTTATTTTATACGTTTCGAGCTTGTTCGTATTGTGGTGAGCGTAGAGGCTCATAATTGTAGTTACTTTGCGTGCGCACAGAGGGCGGAAGCTTCTGGGGCCACAGATTCATTGTTTCATCTGATGATGAAACAAGTAGTAGGTGGTAGCTATGCGCATAGGCATGGTTGCTATGCAAGCTCGAGACGAAACAAGCTGTTTATATGCGTTGCTATGAGCGCGCTTCGTTTTTTGGCTGTCTTTTACAGATGATCGGCAGAAGGGCTTTAGACTCCGAAGAGCGAGGAGCTTGTAAACAAAGTTGAATAACGTATTAATAAAGTTCTTTTCATTTTGTTCACTTTGTCTCGTTTAATTTCGGAAGTAACCCGAACATTTTGGCGACCGTGACAGGACACATTTCATTTCGATTTGATCCGTAAAGATTTTTCTTTAACATGGCCTCGAGGAAAAGAAAGATCGTCAACCGACCGGAGCTGCCGCAAGATTCCGTTGCTGCTGGAGACGGTGCAAGCTCAAGTCGCCGACGAAGGGTTCAGGTCGCAGACGTTATAACAGCGTCGTCTCAACGCCCTGCTGCTCGTAAAACTGCTCCGCGCCGTCGAGAACCGGCGGATCTCGTTAACATTTTGCCAGTTACTAGCCGTACTACTCGCGGAGCTGCTTCACGTCAACGAAAATCTACGGCTCCGCCACAACGCACTACTACACGAAAAGTCGCTCAGCTTCAGCAGGAGCAACCGATTGTTGCTGATCCTCCGCCGGCGCCGTCAAATCGTCCAGCTACTCGAGGGGCCGCTCGACAGGAGCAAGAAGCACTGCAAGATGAACAACGAGAAATACCGTTGGTGCAAGAAGACTTGGATATTGCTGATCCACCACCGCCGCCGCCTCGTCGGTCAGCTTCTCGTAAGGTTGGTCAAAGTCGTCAAGAGCCGATGGATGTTGCTGATCCACCGCCGCCACCGACATCTCGTCGCCCACCGGCTCGAAAAGGAGCGGGTAAACGTCGTCAAGAGCCGATGGTCGCTGCTGACCCACCGCCGGTGCCACCACATCGCTCAGCTTCTCAGGGAGCCGGTCAACGTCGTCGAGAGCCGACGGTCGCTGATGATCTATCGCCGGTGCCACCACAGCGCTCAGCTTCTCAGGGAGCCGGTCAACGTCGTCGAGAGCCGATGGTCGCTGCTGCTGATCTACCGCCGGTGCCACCACATCGCTCAGCTTCTCAGGGAGCCGGTCAACGTCGTCGAGAGCCGACGGTCGCTGATGATTTACCGCCGGTGCCACCACTTCGCTCAACTTCTCAGGGAGCCGGTCAACGTCGTCAAGAGACGCTGGACGCTGGAGATCCACCGCTGGGGCCGCCTCGTCGATCTATCCCGCAAGGAACGGCTCAAGGCCAATCAGCTTTGCGCGACGTAGCTGAGTTTCCGCCG